TAAATTCCAACCGATGGATGAAATAAGTCAAATGTAGAACCAAGATTTTCTAATCGAATACGAAGATCTTCAGTAAATAAATCATCCGATTGAAAATATTGTTGAATTTCTTTAATATATTTATGTGCTTCTTCATATTCTCGAATATCTTCATTTTTCAATTGATGATGATTTTTCAAACGATAATTCAATTCTTCAGTTATTTTATAAGAATATTCTTGAATATTTTCATTAATTAATCGTAATGAATCTTTATATTGATCTTCAGTGAACTGCTGTCCGATAATATCAGAGAAAATTTTAAATTGATTTGAATAATAAAATAAAAGTGAAACATTTTTATGTTTTAATGCATAAATAATAGAAGATTTGTATCGATTAATTTGATTGGAGATGACTATTTGTGTTTGTTGACTAACAGAAAATTGAAAAACTTCATCAGGATAATGAATTCCTCGAAGATGTTTTAATTTTTCAATAATATTTTTGGTACCTCCATCAATAGGATCAATTCTTATTGGATCATTTCGTGTTTTTTCAATCATATCATTTAATATTGTGATAAATGTAGTATTTGATCTCAATAAAGGATTTGGATCAGTTCTCGAAGTTTTAATATCAGATAAAATTGCATGAATATCTATTTCTGATGGATATTTTGTAAATCCATATAAAATTGAATTTAATCGATTTTCAATTCCATGAATCATATTGATTAAAATATGAATCAATTGTTGAATACCTTCTCCTCGATCTCCTAAACTTCGATAACTTGATAAAGCTAAAATGCTAACACTTTTACAAGATTTCAAAACTCTGATAACTCCTACACAATTTGAAATATCAATTTCTGGGCTTTCTGTATCACCAAAACCAGGTGAATCACATATAATAATTTCATTCGTTTCATAAGTATCAAAAATATCTTTTAATGAAATTGTAACTGGTATTAAAAAACGAGTTTCAGATTTACTTAATGGACTACTTTTGACATCGATCAATCCAGGATTAATTATAGGTCCATCTGTAGTTATATGTTTCAAAAACTTTTCAGGACAAATTTCTACTCGTGTTTCTTTCATTTTAGTACCGGTAAGAAACTGAACAGTTGTTGATTTTCCACTACCTGTAATGCCAATCAAGAGAATAATATCTTTGTCATGAATTAAATTGGCTGTTTGTTCGGATCTTTTAATATATCTTTGTATTTCTTGTAGATTTAATGGTCGAATTAGTTTTAAGATTTTGTTTAAGTTGTAAAGAATAACCGAACAATCTTGATTACCAATTGTTCGATTTATCTCTTGTAATTTTGTTTTTATTTGTTCTGACAATAAATCCTCATCTTGAAGTTGATTTTGTACTTTAGTTAATTCTGAATGAATCGAATTGGACATTATTTCATTTGTATTATCATTTAATAATCTTCGATAAAAATATTCTAATAATTCCATTATAGTTTTTTCTGCACATTCAGGTATTTCAGTCAATTGATGAAGTAGATTATTTAATTCTATTCGCTCAGATTTTTCTTCATTATTTGAAATAAGTCCAACGGATTTTCGACGAAATATTTCATTAATAATTATTTGAACTAGTTGTAAATCGTGTAAATATTTCATTTCTTGTTCTACTGCATCTCTTCTATCTTCATTTTGATACATTTCAATACGTTTTTCTGTTCGTTTAATTCTCTCTTCTATCTGAATTATATCTTGAATCTTACATTTCTCAAAACCATATCTTAATCGAGTTTCTAATTCATTTATTTCTAATCTGTCGATATTCTTGGAAAGATACTCAATCGATTGTAAAACTATATCTTCACGAAGTACTTGTAATCTCTTTAGTTCCTTTAAATATTCTCTCTCTTTTTCAGCTTCCTCATCTCTAGTTTCATCGACATACTCTTGAATTCGCATTTCTGTTCTCTTCATTCTTCTCGATAAGTGTGTTATATCTTTGATTTTACATAATTTTAAACCATTTCTTAGCCGATTTTCTAATTCAAATAATTCGAACGGTTTACCGTTTGCATTAAGGCAGGCAACTTGTGTTGAAATATCTTTTTGTTGTCTCATCAGTACATTCTCTTCTTCACATACAGCTAAGATTCTATCTGATTCTATGCTCATAATAATTGGAATTGTAAATTGATTTGCTGTTAAGTGGATTTACAGCAGACGATGATAAATCGTTCGAATTAAATATTTGTTGCTTTTCTTAATTTTCTTATTTTTGAGTTTTAAAGTCTAAGTAAAAATTTAATTGTATTCTAAATCGTATAAAATGAATATATCACTATTATTTAATTCACATTAATTTACCTGTTCTTATAAATTATGTTTCACTGGATCTTTGAGCAGTAACAACGTCGCAGCTGAGAGAATTAATCATTTGACAGATTTAGTTATATTATTGAGAATGGTTTAACTAAGTGTATACACGTTTTCCGGTAGAGCATATAATTGAATGATATAATTCAAGCAAAGATTATATTTTAATGGAATCACAATAATCCAAACGACGTGAGTAATTCTAGAACGATAGAAATACTCTGCTTCAAATTCCTGATTTTGAGGATGCAGGTGATATTGTGCAAAAACTCATGACAGAATTGTTGTAAGACCTTTAAAATGTTAACATATTTTTCAGTATTATTTCTACTTTGCCGAAGGATTTTTAAAGTAGAAGTTATGAAAATGAATGAGACATAGTCAAGAGCTTTTGAAACAGAATTCATGCCCTGTTATAGTAAAAAAATAGAATCATCTGTTGCGATGAATTTTACAAGGTCTATGTCAAAATCTTACACACATATATATCCTAAACGAATTGAAATACATCGGGCATTTGTTATCCTGCTAGAACTATTTTAGTATGACGATCACATGTTCGGTGACTACCATTTTTCATCATATAATTTATTAATGTCCTCTTTAAGGAAGATAAAAACGCAATAAATGAGTTCCAAACGAACGCCCTCTATTAAACGAATTTCGAACACGTTCAGAATGCGTTTCGAACGCGTTTTAATTCGTTCATACGCTCGGAACGCGTTTTCATTCCATTCGTTACGACCTGGACTGGGTATATATATGTATGACAGGAAAGGAAAAGTCCATCATGTATAAGGGAAAACACCAAGAATGACAGAGGAAAAGAAGAAAGCATCACTATCTAACAGCAGAAGATATATTCTACCTTAACAGATTTATTAAATAGAGGCGTGGTTTTATTAGTACATATATATTTTTTCTACCAAAATCATCATAATACTCTCAAAATGTTTCTTTTCTGATACTTTTTATGAATGAAAGTGAGGAAGGATAGTGGTAAAGGAAAAACGACAGAGGCGAAAGATAAGTGTTGATATAGTCTCTTCACTTCACATAGATTTGGGTATCATCTCGTGTAAGTGTTAGATAGACACAACAATTCGAAAATAAATTGTTTGTGTCTGTTGCAAGACTTCCTTTTTATTTGTTAGCATATTTGCGTTCCGTTCTACTTTATATGAACATGTAATGGTGTGCACTTCGCGCTTAATATGTATTACAGAAAAGTCTGTATATTTGAAGAGTTGATAATATAGTCAAAATCCTGTACTCATATTTTTACTTACGTGAGTTTCTGATGACAAAAGTATTGATTGATCCATATTTCAACATTAGACCTATATGATCTTTTCTATATTTATTTCATTTGATATAGCATTGCTCATGTAGTGAATCTAAAGGCAACAAAATTCTCAGGATCATATAGAGAACTTTACATATTTCTCGTCATTTGCTGTTACTTTTCGATGAATATCGCTAGGATACGTATAATCAATTGAGTAAGGCAATAATGACAAAAATTCCCGTAGCAGAGTTGTGCCTGGTTCGACGGAGCTGATCTGAATAGGTTAGGTTTTCACTAATTCTGAAAAAATTTAAAGTTAAATAATTCACTCCTGATTCTGTTATATTCTTAGTCTCAAAATCGGGTCAATCTATTCTGCAAATATGCATTTTTCTGAGTGAAGTATAGCGAGAGTAAGTTTAATTTAGTTTATCGAAATAATCTCATTTTCTCAAAGGCATCAATTTCTGTGTTCTTCTGCTTTTTCGAATTTTATCAGTATGTAACTGAAATTCGGTGCATTATATTTGAGTTAGATGAAATCAAGAAGTTTGAATTCTGCTGCATGAATGACAACAACTCTACCAATACAATACTAGAATTAGATTCATTTACATCTTTTCTAGATAATTCACGATTATAATTATACATTTATATACTTTTCGGTTTTATTTGAATACTTATTGGGTACTACAATATTTGTAAAAAACTCATTTGGTACTGCAATATTTATCAAATACTTATTCAACACTACAGTATTCATCAAATACTTCATTTGATCGGTAAGCAGTCTAAATCATAATGCTTAATAAAATAAAACAGAGTTCGAAGTGATCGGGTCAATTTGAGGGTGTGGATGTGATTGTTGTGTTTATGTGTTACTCACACCCACATCTAAGTTCAATTTACACTGAGAATAGCTTCGATGTTGGCACAGTATTCGTATTTTTATTGTATCCTAGCTTGCTAATAGCTTTGATTGATAAAAATACTCGATTAATTCTCAGGTCCATTAGCAAATACTTCAAAATCAAACTTTAACCCTAAATGTTAATCAATATTAATTCAATTTCTCTTTTTTATTTTAGTTGATTTTTACAACAACTTTCATTTACAACTGTACTGTTGACTTCAACAAGTCCTGCAACCCAACTGACATAGTACAAAATAGTTCGTATCTTGACCAATGGAAACCTTCCGATGCGAATTAGATCATTCATATCAGTTACCTGATATCCACGATGACTTGTCAAGACAATTGATGAAATTACGTCAACAGTCTCCAGAACGTTTACTAACACCAGTACATGTTCTAAGTACTATTACTGATACTGTAGGTGATCAAATTGAAGAACGATTTCGAGAAGCTCTGAAGTGTCACAGTGGTAAACGTATCATTCTCATTCCTTATCTAATGGACAATCATCATTGGAATGGAATTTTACTCGAGTGGAACTCGATGGAACAAATTGAACAATCGGAATTTATTAATCCAGTCACAGGCTTTGATTCTATTCCAGATGAATTACAGAAATGCTTCATAAAAATATTTCCAAAAAATGTCTTACGATCTAAAATTATGTTAAAAGACGAAGATCGAACTAAAAGTAGATTGTTAACCGTGATCAATTTATTAAATGCAGTGCAAAATTCACATTTCGATCAATCACCAGCAAATTTACACACAAATCAAGAAGGTTCTACAACATCCATTGAAGGTAATCAAATGAACTTTGATGAACTTGAAAAAAAACTCAGTAGTGGATTCGCTAAATTTAATATATCTGATGAAAACATATTGTCAGATAGAATCAAACGATCACAAAATCGTATTAAAGAATATCAAGAAACAGAAAGAATGGAAGATGCAGAACAGGAGATGAATTATTTAAAAGAATATGAAATATTAGCAGAACTTGCTAAAAGAATCAGACTTATGAAATCGAATGTTTCTGAATTAGATACAGCAAATTTAGAAAAACAGTTAGCTGATAGTTTGACCAAGCTGCGAATTACTGATATAAAAGCATTGCCTGACAGAATAGTAAGATCAGAAAAACGAATTGAAGAATATCGAGAAGAAGGAAGATTAGATGACGTTGAAAAAGAAACAGCATTTTTAAATGAATGTAAGAAATTACAAAAACTTGCTGAAGACATACACAATCGAGACTCGACAGACCATGGTAGTGAACAAAGTAAATTGTTCAAGTTGAATCAGCTAGAACAAAGATTAGCTACTGGTTTAGCGAATATAAATATGGTTGATCCTACAAAATTATTAGATAGAATTGAGAGGTCTGAAGAACGAATAAGAGAATTCGAAGAAGAAAAAAGAGTTGACGATTTAGAAAGAGAAAAGAAATATTTAACTGAATATAAAATGTTAAAGAAACTTAGTGAAGAGATTTGTTCTTTGAAATCGAATGTGATTGAACCATCAGGAGTTGATGAATTACAAAAGAAACTAAATGATGGATTAACTAAATGTAAAATTTCAAATGTAAAAGATTTACCCGAAAAAATTCGGCGATCCGAACAACGAATCAAAGAATATAAAGATGAAGATCGTTTGGAAGAAGTAGAAAATGAAAATAAGTATTTGACTGAATTAAATAAGCTTCAAAAATTCGCAGATGAATTGGATAAGCATAAAGCAACAGCATCTAGTTCATTAGATAATTCCCAATCAAAACTTCGCGAATTAGAAGAAAAATTACAAAGTGATTTATTAAAATTCAAACTTTCAAGTGTAAAAGATTTATCTGATAAAACTAAACGATCTGAACAACGAATTAAAGAATATAAAGATGAAGACCGTTTGGAAGAAGCAGAAAATGAAAATATTTATTTAACTGAATTAAACGAACTCCAAAAATTAGCAGATGAATTGGATAAGCATAAAGGAACAGCATCTACTTCATTAGATAATTCCGAATCAAAACTTTGGAAATTAGAAGAGAAAGTAGAAAGTGGTTTATCAAAATTCAAACTTTCAAGTGTAAATGATTTATTCGACAAAATTAAACGATCTGAAGAGCGAATAAAGGAACATAAACGTGATGGTCGTTCAAAAGCAGAAGAAGGTGAAAATAATTATTTAGCGGAATTAAATGAACTTCAGAAAGTAGCAGATGAATTAGATGAGCATAGAGGAACAGCATCTATTTCATTATATAATTCCGAATCAAAACTTCGGAAATTAGAAGAAAAAGTAGAAAGTGGTTTATTAAAATTCAAAATGCCGAATATATCAGTTTTGGCAGAAAAAAACGAGCGATTAAAGGAACGAATTAGTGAATATCAGGAAGAAAATCAAATTGATAAAGCAGAAAAAGAACAAGAAGATCTAAGTAAATTGTCTAATGAAATAATGAATTTGAAATCAATTTCCGAGAATCCATCGACAGATGCTTTTCCGAAATCAACTAAGATTGCTTCAGAAGTTGTGAATAATTCTCGTACAAGTATAAAACACGATGTTGAGAAAGAGAAATTAGATGATGTTAATATTTTTCATCAAGATTGGATTAATATGCATCCATGTGCAGAAAAAACTGTTATGCAACTTTTGGACCATTTTCAACGGATAAATTGTGATGAAGATCCGAACTCATCGGATCAGACATTCATTAATGAAATGTTAGATCAGTTAAGAAAACAAATTCAAAAACAAGAACTATTTTCAGAAAAAATTCAGAAAAGTTTACAAGATTTAGAACGTTATGCATCGAGTCATAATATTTCATCGATATTGCATTGTTTAGTTGAAATTTTATCACAAATTCGACCATTAGATGTTCATGAAATTGAACGACTTGTTAGCAAAGCTAAAAATGCGGCGAAATTAATTGCTGGTAAAGATATAATATTATTGATCGGGGAAACTGGAACAGGAAAATCGACGACAATACAGTTTCTCAGTGGTTCAAAAATGAAAAAGACAAAAGTTGAAGTTGAACCAGGAAGATTCTTAGAACATATAACGATTGATGGACCGATTAGAAATCCTGATTTGATAGATGTAACAAGTAGTGCTATATGTAAATCAGAAACACGATATATTGCACCAGTAACAATTCCATTACGAGATATTTATGGTGCACATGAATACGGAGAAATAATTCTATGTGATGCACCAGGTTTTGGTGATACAGCTGGTCCAGAAGTTGATATTGCGAATGGAGTTGGTGTTATTGAAGCATTGAAAGGTTGTAAAAGTGTGAAGATTCTTGCTCTCTCAAGTTATAAGAGTTTAGGTGATCGAGGACAAGGTATTCAAAAACTGGCTCATCTTTTGATTAATATGATACATGGAATTCAAGATAGGTTAAGCGCCATTTTTTATGCTTTTACTAAATATCCATCAGATATCGATATATCAGCATTGCTAATTGATATTAAAATATCTAAAGTTGATAAGGATCCATTATTACGATCAGATAGTGCATTTGTAACTGTATTAACAGATATGATTAATAAAACAAAACATGGTGCTGAAATTATTGATCCTCTTAATGGAGATCCAAAAACTCTTGTTGACAGATTAAAACATTTACGTGGTATTATGTATCCTTCCGAAGTTTTTCAATTTTCAATCAGTTCAGAAACTCAATCGTGCGTTGCGAATCAAGCACAACTAGATAATTTAAGTGTTAAATGTGCATTAAAACATAAAGATATTGATCTTGTTTTACATTATTTAGATAAATTAAAAACATTAAAAGATTTACTTGATGTTAGTATAGTTCGAGATTCATATGAAGATGCAATAAGAACAGTAAAAGAAACTTTAACAAATTTTTGTACAGAAATAACAAAAAAATTTAACCGTTCATTAGCAAGTCGAGATGGTTTAAAAGAAGAAGATATTAATGAATATAAATCTTCAACTGAATATATAAAAAATAGTCAAAAATTAAACAAACATTTTGCAGAAGATCAGTTATCACCTGAATCATTAATACAAAATATAAGTAGTGAAATTCAAAATAGAAATGAATTTCTCATTGAAGAGCATCTATCAAGTTCTTTAATAGGAATTTATCTCAACAATGTTCTTCTTTTAAAAAATTCATTTCAACAAATTGAACCATTATATAAAGAAATTTGTCAAAATTATCAAGAACGTTTTGAAAAACTAATTGGATCAACTGATGAATTAATTAAAACTAATGATTTCAATAAAATTGCAGATTTCATTTTACAAATATCAAAATGTATACCAACGTTAGGTAAACATCTTAATAATTTAGTTGAAGATAAATATAACTCTGTTATTCAATTACTTTTACAATATTTATCGAGTTTTCTTGAAAAATCTCAGTCAGTTTTAGCTAAACCGAGATTAAATGAAAGTGAAATTAATACAGTTAAAAATGCAGTTCTTGTATTAGGATCAGCGAAAGGAAATGTTGCATTACAAGATAGTATTTCGACTTATATTCAAATAATGAATAAGAAAACTGAGAATATAAAAAGTGTAAATGAAATCTATAATTTATTAATTGATAGTATTATCAATTATTTTAATCAAATAAATGATCGTATAAATCAATTATTCGAAATTCAAGGAGATCGTGCACTTGACGATACAGAAATTTTAATTAATGATATGGATGCAATTCGAACAATTGAAGAAATTGATTCAAAAACAATTGGAATTTATTATCGTACAGTTGAATCTATACGTGGACAAATGAATCAGATTCAAAGAGAAGTTCAAGATTTACTAATATCAATTGAATCACAAAAAGAAACACCAAATTATACAAAAATAGCACGATTGTTATCACGTATGAATAATGCTAAATGGATGAATCGTTTAAGTCCAGGTTCATATGACATTGCAATAAAACGTATTACAGAAGAATTAACTCAATATTTTTATGAATTAGAAGAACGTTTAAAGAAACTAGATCTAAGTATGAAACATCCAGAAAATATTCCTATTGCACAAGAAATATTTGATAAACTTGATTCATTGAGTGTACTTGATCGTTTTGTACCCGATTTGAAAAAATCGAAAGATTTGATGATTCAAAGTTTTCTTGATGATATTCAGAATAATTTTGATAATATGCAAAAGAAATTTCAATTACAAGATATCGATATTTATCAAAGGAAACAAGAATTGATTGAACTTGAACAAACAAAACATGATTATGATAACTTACATCCAGCAAATGTTCTTCTACAACAAAATAATTTTCCTAATATTGATAAATTAAATCAAGAAATAAAAGATCTTGAAAATAAACGAGATAAGGAACTTGAACATCAAAATGAAAGAAAATCAAATATTGAAAAAGAATTAAATAATTTAAAATTAAAGTCAAATTCCAATAAACAAGAAATCAGTAAAATTCAAGAACGCCTCTCTTTCCAATTAGAAATTATTCGTGATTTAGAAAACAAACATAAAAATATTTTAGCTCCATTTTTATCAATTAAAAATCAATATGAATCTTTAATAACAACACGCAATTCAACTACAGACGAACAATTCAAGTTTCTTAAAGATAAAAAATATGATAATATTGAATCATTGAATAATATTATTAATCAAAAGAAAGATGAAATCAATAAATATCAAAACAATCCGCGAACATATCATTTTGATGATCGATTTGATGCCACATCAGCCGATATTGCATTGATATATACAAGTAGTTGTGAAAAAATAGCAAATATTCGTTTTAAAAAAATGGGAGCTGATATTCATACAACTTTAGGTAAATATATAAAAGAATATGGAATATTTCTTAACAACGACATTGAAGGATTATATAGATCTATTATAACGAATTCTTCACAAGAAAATCTTTCGGAAACTTTAGAGAAACGTTTAGAGCAACTTGTTTCATTAAGTGAATACAATAATGTTTTTAAATATATTGACGGAAATAAAAAAGTTACTTATTGGCGTCGGAAATTTCAAGAACAATATCAATCAAGTTTTAGTCAGATAGAAAAGTATAAAGCATTAGGAAATTCTGATGAGTTACATAAAGAATTGATTATTGTACAAGGTTTGATAAGAGTTGATCATTTTTGTAGTGGAGAATTTGTAATCAAGTGTTTTGGAGATTTATATAGAATTAATCAAATGGAAACAACAAAAAAATCAAAAGAAACTTATCAAATAGTTTTAGAATATATTAAACAAGAAGATTATGGAACTGTTGATGATATCTTGATTGATATCGATGGAAAAACAACAAATTCAAGAGATTTAAATAGTATTAAACAAGGTTTACAAGATTCATTTGATAGTTTAACGAAAAAAACGTTGAAAATTGCGAATAGTATTAATCTTAATAGTGATTTTACAACGATAATCCAAAGTCATGTTCAACAGATGAATATCAATTTAGATAAAGTTCGTACTGTTTTAAAAAAACCCAACATCTTAAACATAGTTGATGACAAAACTAAATCAGATTTAAAAGAATTTGAAGGAAAACTAACGGAATGTTTATCGAACGTATTATTACAAGCAATAAATAATACTGAAAATTTGTTAAAATCCAATGATATTTTAGAAGTTGAATTAAATACAATTAAACTTTTTAATATACGACATGAAATTGATCAACAGTTGAAATTAGAATCAGTTACTGTAAAAATAAATGAAATTAAAAAGAAATTAGATAATCCTGGTAGTATTATATTAGAACAAAATGATTATTTAAAACATATTGAACAATATCGAATACATTCACCAAAAGTTCTTGTTTCAAAATTACAAAAAGCTGATGAAAAATATGAACCAAAATATAGTACAGTTCAAACACAAATATTAGCTGAAATTCGTCTTAATTTTGGCACTACTATTGATAAAATAGATAAAACACCAATTGATAAACGTTTAGAATTAATAAATCCATTATACGAAGCTTTGGATTTTTTACCAGATGCATTACAATCTGAATTTCGAGCAGATATCACTAAATTAAGACTTGAAATTCACGAAAATAGTCGTACTTATAAACGTGAATTAGAAACATTTCTTAATAGTGATCAAATTAATGATGAAATGATTAAAAAATTGAATTCATTCGAAGAAAAATATCAAAAAGAAAACCAAGATGAATTGTTGACTATTTTACATTCAGGAGTTTCGGCTAAGTTAGGAAATTATTGGAAAAATGTTGAAAAAGCATTTGAAAAGGAAGATATTTCATCTGGTATTGAAGATATGAAACATATTATGAACTATTACATCTATGCACCGTTAATTCCTGCTAGTAAAAAGTTTTTTGAGTTAATCTCTAAATTAATTAGTAAACATATCATCAATTATTCAAAAACACTTAGTAGTATATTTTTGATAAAAAATATTGAAACTGTTAGTCAAGCTTTTAATAATTTAATTTTATGTATGGATTTTATTGATTCATTTTCTCCACCAATAGAGAATCTTATTTCTCAGAAAACATTAAAAGATCTTACTTTAAATTTAGACAATATATTTAATAAGTGGAAAAATTTTATTAAGAATTTTAATATTGCTTTAAACGACATGAATATTCATGTAATACGTGAATCATTAGATATAGTGAATCATTGTAATAACGTTTTAAAAAGTATTCATGAGTGCACATGTGACATTTCATTAATAAAACCATTTATTGAACAGATGAAAGATATACCTGAACATTCAACATTAAATTTGATGTTTACGAATCAGATTATTGAATTAGTTAAAACATTTGATAAAGAATTAATTAGTGATAGAACAACGCGCTTTGAAACAGAGCGTGAACAACTATTTAAGAATCTTTCCAAATCATTAAAAACATTTCGATCAATTACTGTAGAATTTCCAAAAAGGTTCATAGAATTATTCAGTCTTGAACAAATTGAAAAAGACCTAAAGAATAAAATTGATAAACTAAAACAAAAACTTCTTTCTTATGCGAATAAAACTGATCCATCACAATCCGATACAGATCAATTTCGTTTATATTATAATCATCTTATTTCGATTGAAAAATATCTTTCATATTCTGATCTTAATATTCCACAAAGTTTAGAATCAGCTGAAAAACATATTCTTGATAAAGTTAGTGAATTATCCAAAACTATTCATAATTCAGTATCAGATTTTACTAAAGTAGCTGGTTATTTATTAAAAATGAAATTTTTTGCTGAAAATTTTTCAATGTTTGATACAAAAATTAATCGAAATATTGATGAATGTTTGAAATTTTTTCAAACAAATCAAGGTCCAACTATGATTGGGCAGTTAACAATGATTTTAGAAAAAGATGAATTAGGTTCTCGATTAATATCTGAACATTCAGCTTTAAGTGGAGAAGATTGGAGAAAAAGACGAGAAAAAATGCAAAATCAAGACAATCTTGATTATGTTTTAAAAGAATTAGAAGGAGATGATCTTTCAAAAGATGTTTTATCAAAACGTTATGCAGTTTTTCGAAGAACATATGATGATTTAATATCAAAAAATTTAGCTGCATTTAATTTCAAAACAGAAAAAGAACCTAAATTAGATATACTGATATCTGAAACAAAAGCATTAATTGCGGATGGAAATCACAGATCTGATTCAATTAAATGGGATAAATCACTTCAAGACAAAATTCCCGATTTATTAGCACATATTTTTGCTGTATGGACTTTGAAAAATACTCAACATTATAATGATATGAGAGGAATTGATTCAGCACGAGCTTATCTTTTAATGCCACATGTTGCACAAGTCATTGCGATTTTTCGTATTTTTGGGATTGGATATACGAAGTATACAACAATTTTTGATTATTTATTAGGTTGGAAAAGAATTTCCAGTGATTTAGTTAATAATTTAGTTGAAGTTGGTACAGGAGAAGGAAAATCCGTTATTTTAGCGATTGTTGCTTGTGTTTTTGCTTTAATGGGTCTTGATGTTAATTGTTCATGTTATAGTGAATATTTAAGTCAAAGAGATAAAAATGATTTTGCATCATTATTTCAAGCATTAGGTATTGATGAACGTATTGAATATGGAACATTTAATCGATTATGTGAAAATTTCTTAAATGAACAATGTAGTTTAAGAGAAACAGTTCGAGAAATGATTATGGGTAATAAAAATATCGTTGATATAAGCTCAAAAATAACACGGATGCGTCAAAAAGTTTTATTAATTGATGAAGTTGATGTTTTTCTTAGCGAAAAATTTTATGGTGGAATGTATACACCATCATTATTGTTAAGAGATTCATCAATTAAAGCTTTATTAGATGTATTATGGAAAAGTAGACATTTATTAACATTAAATGCTGTTAAAGATACATCTGCTTATAAAGATTGTGAAAAACGTTTCAGTAATTGGATTTCTCTTGTTGATGAAGCAATTAAAAGTATGTTATGTGCTCTACAGTCATATCAATCATCAACATATACGATAAAAAATGATCGAATTGTTTATATTGAAGGAGAATCATTTGTTGAAAATGTTGTTCGTGGTTATGATACAATTTGGGCTTATTATCATGAAAATCAAAAGGGTTTTATTAGTGAACAAAGTTTAGAAACAAATGTTGGAATTATTGTTAGTTGTGGAGCATTTTCATATGCACATATGCCGAAAGATTTTGGATATATCACAGGTGTTTCAGGTACTTTAAGAACATTAGCTGATTCAGAAAAAAATATTCTTTCGGATGTTTATGGTATAGCAAAGAGTACATTTATGCCATCAGCTTTTGGTAAAAGTAATCGAAATTATAGTTCGATAAATGATGTTGAAGCTGTTGAAAAATCAGAATATTTTATGAGAATTCGAGGAGAAATTGATTTAATGATTCGTGCTAAACGTGCTATACTTGTTTTTTTTGAATCAGAAGAACGTTTACTAGAGTTTTATAATTCAGATGAATTAGCGTCGTTAAGACAATCAGTACAACTAATAACTGAAAGAGTATCAGCTAAAGATAGAGAAACTTTTGTTAAACGTGCAGCTACTGATGGTAAAGTAACATTGTTAACACGAACATTTGGACGAGGTACAGATTTTATTTGTCGAAATCAACAAGTTTTAGCTAATGGAGGAATTCATGTTTTACAAACATTTTTTTCAAAAGAACTATCGGAAGAATATCAAATAATGGGTAGAGGAGCCCGACAAGGAGATCGAGGTTCATATCGAATGATTCTGTTAGAAAACGATTTAGAATGGATTTTGGGTGCGGACTGGAAAAATCAGGTAAAAAAGATCAAAGGTCAAACCCTTTATTCTGCATTAAATAAAGAACGTAAAAAACTTTATGAAACAAATTGTGCAGGAAAAAAAAGGGGAATTGATCAATGTGAACCTGACCATAATCGTTCGGAAAATTTTCTCGATGCGATTGTTAAAGGAGATATGACTAGCGTTAAGAAATTTTTATTTGAGCAAAATCTTGGACCGAATATTTATTCAAATACTTCTCGTACAGTTTTATTAATGGATGCAACAGGTTCGATGTCGAATCTTTTATCTGCAACTAAAGATACAGTTTGTACAATGTTTGAACGTGCTTCAGTTATTTTAAAAGAAAAAAAAATACCAAGTGATATATTTTCTATGCAATTTGTTGTTTATAGAAATTATAACTCACTAGAAGATAAGATTTTAGAAGTTTCGCCTTGGGAAACAAGAGGTAGTCACTTAAGAGCTTTTATGAATACAATTAGATCAGAAGGTGGATCGGGAGCAGAAGCGATTGAAATAGGTTTATGGCATGCTGTGAGAGAAAGCAACACAAAAGAATCGATTTCGCAAGTTATTCTGATTGGAGATGCACCGGCAAATACACAGGCAGAGATTTTTTCGAAAAGAGGACATCATGGTGAAAAATACTGGAAAAATACGAAATTTTCTAATAAAACTTTTTATTCAGATGAATTAAAAAAATTGAAAGATAAAAATATTCCAATTCATACATTTTATTTAACTGAATATGCGAAAAATAATTTTCAAGAAATTGCTAGAGAATCAAAAGGACGGTGTGAATCACTTGATATTCGTTCTAGTGCAGGAATTGATGCATTAACAAATTATGTTACTGAGGAAGTTCTTAGAAACGCAGCTGGAAGTCAAGGAGATGAGGCTGTTAAGTTATATAGAGAAAAATATGTAAAAACGAGTTTTACATCTTAGATTTTCAAGTATCGAAAAGAGCATTCTTTTTCATTTATCAATAAAAATTATTAAATTGAAAGAATTTTTGTCTCCTTTTCTGCTTCTTCGTTTTGATTCAAAAGACAATATGTTTTCTTTTAAATTGATTGTGTCAACTGATGCTTTTTTATATACCCATTTTTTTTTATTCTTGCTTGTGTTGTCTTTTTTTTCAGTATGTTTTCTTTTAAATTGATTATGTCAAGTGATTCTTTTTTTATATATCCATTTTTTTCATTTTCACTTTTTTGTGTTGTCTTTTTTTCAATATATTCAAAAAATATGAAAATCTTTTAAATTTTGAATTTAATCTTGAGGTTGGGTGTGGGTGGTGCTAGGTGGATATAGTATCCATATCCACATGCACACCCACCTCCAATATAAAAACGAATGGTGTAAATTGGGCCACTTGTTGTGTAAAATGGGCAAGTCTGACGAGGTTCGAAAAATATATGAAACAGTACTTGAACAAATAACTGATGATACTGAAAAAGGTTATATTTCGGAACAAATTGGATTGATTAAATATAATCAAGGAGAATATGTCTATGCATTAACATCCTATAAAAAATCTCTTGAAATTCAACAGATAGATACAGTCGAATCGATCGAAAAGAAACTGTAGCTATTATCTATTTTGTCGTAAATAAATAAAATGTTTACACAAGAAACTTTATAATTTGATGAAGAGAAGTACGATCGTAGTTAATCTCTAACTTATTATAATGACTATATATTTCAATGTTAAATCATTTACGTTGATTGATAATATAGCATAATGACATATTTCAAAGATTATAAACAATACAATTGAAATAATTACTGTTTTCTTCATATCATTCGTCTATTCATTTAATAATAATTGAAATACTATACTTTTCGATACTTATACGTCAAAAGTTATTCCTTAGTTGGACATAGGATTAGGTTTAAATCTCTATTTAGCTAATCTGTTTGTTCATTTTACTCTACAAATATTGTGTTATCACCAAGAATTGTATTATTTCAAAAATAGTTGCATGTTTGATTATATAATTGATTATATTAAATGTCTTCTTTGTCAATCAATGATGACATATTAGAAGTTCGATATATATATATATATCAGAGAAGAAAGATAAGAAATTCCATCAATCAGCATTCGCTTCTTAAATAGATGTCGCTTCTTATTTTCATAAAATTCTCAATAACAATTGGTTGATTATTTGACGAGAACGAAGAAGAGCCTTGGATATAGTTCAAAAAAAAACTGTTGTTTATTCCTTTCAACTATATCATAGCATATATATAATATAAAATAACCCTTAATATCTATTTTTAATATAGATGCCAAAGCGCGTTCACAGTGCTAGTGATCGCGACGATATCAATGAGTCAACCAATGCATCGAAACGTACACGAAAAGCAGTTGAACTAGTATGTGAATATTAAATGAATCATTATATTAAATATTTCGTTTTTCTTTAAGACTAATCTCTGTCAAGAATTTTACGATGGTATACGAGCTTGTAAAACTGAAGATGGAAGAATTCTATGTGAAAATTTCATACGACTACCGAATAAAAGGTTATTTCTTTTGAAAACTTTATTTTTCGTTTAAATTTAAACATATTTCTATGTATAGAGCAAACGCAGATCATTCTAATTCAATTGATTTAACTCAAATTCAACAAAAAATTCATTCAGATGAATATACTTCTTTTGAACAATTTCTTGATGATATTGAATTACTTTTAAATAATGCAAAAACTTTCTATCGAGTAAACATTCTTATCTTATTTTTTAACAAAAACGAAATATTCTTGTTTTTTTCATAGAAAAATTCTACGGAATGGAAAGATGCAAATGAATTATCAAAATATTTTTATTCTAAAACAAAATTTGAATCAATTGATACTTATTATTTCGAAGAATTTTTTACAGCTATTTATAATGCTCAAATCGATGATCGTCCTATCGTGGAAATATTTTTATTTTTACCTTCACGAAAAGTAAAACCAAACAAATAATTTTATTCTAAAAATTATATTTTTTTTCTCTTAAATAGATTTATCCAGATTATTATTTAATAGTAACAAAACCAATTGATTTAAAAATGATTGCAATTAAAATACAAAATAATGAATATGTAACACTTGATGATATGGAGAATGATTTATTATTAATGATTTCAAATGCAAGAAAATATAATGATCCAAAATCACAAATATATAAAGTAAAAACATTTTCTATGAATACAGGAGAAATCTGATAATGAATTTTATTTCTTAGGATGCATGTGCATTAAAAAAGATCATAACAAATGTTAGAAATGAACTTGATTCAGCATTGAAAACATCGAATGACAAATTAAGGTTTGAAAAAATTATTTTTTCCTTCAATGAATTTTATTGTTTGATTTTTTAAGACTTCGAAAACGTGATGTACTTTTATCGTCTGAAGTTGCAAATATGGATTATCCTGAAGAGCCTGATGATGAAGAAATACAATCTCAACAGAATGATGATGCCGATTCTGAAACAAGTTCACTTGGTGATGAAGATGATTCATATCGAATTTTATATAATGCTATTAGATATTATAAGCTTGGTGCTCAAAGTTTAATTGATCCATTTATAAAATTACCTAAGAAAAGATTTCATCAAGATTATTATGAAGAAATTCAACGACCAATTGCAATGTCATTAATTAAAAATCATATAAAAGTAAATTATTATCAGTTTTCTTTAAATAAATAAGAAATTCATTTTTTTCAGAAAGGAAAATATACACAATTAGAAGATCTTGTCGATGATATGAAATTAATGTTCGATAATGCAATGCAATATAATCAAGAAGGATCATTAATATTCAATGTAAGTTATATTATTTGCAAATACAAATCTGATGAACTTTATTTATTTAGAGCGCTAAAAAATTATTAGATGTTACTTTACTCAAAGCTCATGAACTTGGTTATGATGAACAAAAACCAAGAATAAAAGAAGCTCGTATCAATCTTCCTATGGTAAAATAAATTTTACTACTTACTTTTGGTTATAATAGTCTTTCTTTCATTTAGATTCCAGTCAAAGATGAATATCTCGAATCATCTAGTCCTCAATCACCTAATGTAAAATCAACTAAATTTAAATTCTTTGTCAAAATTTAATTTTCTTTTAGTCACAACGTGGTCGATTATCAAAAAAACCTATTAAAACTCCTGAACAAAATATTCAAACAATCTATACTTACATTCGAGAATATCGAGTAAATCAAATAATCATAATCTTTTACTCTATAATTTCTATCTTTTTGTTATATCTAAAAAAGGAAAATGATATTGGATTAATTGCACCATTCTTAGAATTACCATCAGCTGAAGAATATCCTGATTATTATGAAACAATTGAAGAACCAATTGATATGTCAATGATAAAAGATAAAATGGACAAAGGAATTGTAAATATAAAATGAATTCGTTTTTTTTATATAATTAAATTTTTTCTAGTATAAACGTGAACAAGATATTATTGATGATCTTAATCGAATGTTTAATAATGCTAAAGTTTATAATGTCGATGAATCTTATATATTCAAATATGCATCACGTCTGGAACAAGCCTTAGCAACTAAATCGAAAACAATGATCATTAAAAAAGAGAAACCATCACAAATACCTCGAATAATAAATAAAAAGTATGATTATTGATCTCTTCTGAAAAAAACAGAGCTTTCGTAACAGCTAAAATAGAACTTCTCACGCTATATTTCAAAGGTTGTAAGAGTGTCAAATCAGGGCTGTCGTAATGAATTTTACAGGAAAGATGTAACCGTTCCTACAGAGTTACGATAGCCCTGTATTATCACCCATACTTCCTTAGTAAAGTATCGTACGACAGCCCTGCATAAGCGATTACGATCACCCGGTAAAATTCGTTAGGACAGCCCTGAGTTTTTGTTACGAAATCCCTGATTATTTACTTCAAATTCTCTTGACATCGAAAAAATCGTTCGTTTGAATACTAAATTTTCTTTTTTCAATTTAGATCTGTAAATTCTGTACAAGATAAAATCTCCTATTTAATTCAATCTATAAAAACATATACGAATCGTTATGGACGAACATTATCAACAGTATTTTTAACTTTACCATCAAAAATGGATTATCCGGATTATTATGAAATAATCCAGAAACCAATTGATTTAAAACGTATTGAATTACAACAATATTCATCAATTAATGATCTATCGAATGATATGAAATTAATGTTTGACAATGCATTATTATATAATGAACCTGGTTCAATGATTTATCGAGTATATTTAATTAAGAAACACCACATTTTTTATTCGTATTTTAATATTTAGGATGCATTGAATCTTCAAAGATTATTTCTTGAAAAAAAACGAGATTTTATACATAATGATAATGTACAAAATTTAGTTTGTGAACTTTTAATGTGTTTATTTATACAAACATTTAATTATGAAGTAAATTTGAATTTTTCTTTTACACTTTTGACACGATAGATCCTATTTCATTTTAATAAGAAAAACATTATTCTTTGTTAGTCAGAAATCACATATAAAGTGTTATTGTTACTGTTTAATCATTTATTACATAGTGCGATGCTTCCCATTAAAACAATCAAGACAATAATATTATTCACAATCAGGATAGAAAAATGTGATTTCCTTTGCTGCTCCATGTTTCCTTTCTCTTGATTGTTTTCTTCGAACGACTTGTTGATTATTGGTTCGGACTAGATTTTAGATACTGAAATACGAGGGTGATGAATAATTGATAGGAGATAATGAGAAGGTTACCATAAGTTAACTGTCAATAGATGTGCATATCTCGAAGAAAGCTGAATCGTGCCGAATGAATTAATTAAAAAACATTTTGATTTTTTTTTCAGGACCAAGATAATCGTTATACAAGTGATTCATTTTCCGAATTACCTGAACAAGCTGAGAATGAACCGTAAGAACGATTGAAAAAATTTATTTAATTACATAAAGAAATTTTTTTAGATTCGATATTATATATACATTTGATTTGGTTCGACAAAATCTTGATAAAGTATTCTATTCAATTATATTTAATCCTGTGTAATTCATCTTTTCTTTTAGCGACGTTACCATCGATTAGATGTTTTTCAAGATGATCTATTTAAAGTCTTTGAACGTGCTAGAAGATTAACTCCACCAACTTCACCAGTAAATTTTTTTTATTACATTTATTCATAATTATATTTTTATTATAGATTTATCAAGATTCAATTAAATTACAACGATTTTATATTCATTTACGTGATGATATTTGTCAACATGGTAGTTTACTTCGATCACCAGCACTTTTATTTAATGAAGATCGTTTTCAACAAGAACTTGTTCGAGAACGAACTGATAAAGATTCCAACACAAATACTAATAATCAGAACAGTATATCACCAACGAAATCATCTGATTCTGATGAAAATAAAATTTCTGTAAGTTAATTTAATACTAAAAAATTCTTCTTCTTGTGCATATTCATTACTGAATGTTTACGACTAGTTTTCTAAAAGCATTTCTGTCTAAAACATTTTAAATTTGCACCCCTGTCCCATTGCTTTCCTTAATCTTGGCTAAGGCTTATGAAACTTGGTTCGAGTGAACTATGCTTCTGGCGGCCTTTGTTCGCCGTATCATCTTATCGTCTTTGGGTACTTGTAGTATTTTATAAAGCGTTTTGGTACCATCCAAAACCCCACTACACCTTGCTGATAAGAGTCCGAATTGTCTGGGACTGCCTATTTCAGCAATTTCTTGTTCTTATTCGCAGCGGACCATCATACTAATAGCCGTTCCACTGTCTGCAACCGAATGATCTATTTTTTTTCTAGCCAAAAAAATCTTCATCATCTGCAGAGAAAAGTTCATTATCGAAAGGTGAAACATATTACTTGGGTGATTTTGTTTATATTGAACCTACTGATGAATCTAATGAACCAGTTATCGTCTGTATTGAATCATTTGAAAATAAAGATAATGAAGATTACCTAAGTGGTTTACAATTTATTCGTCCAAATGAAACTTATCATAGTCCGACACATAAATTTCTTCGTCAAGAAGTTTTTCTAACTCAAACAGTTGAACATATACCAATGAATAAAATTCAAAATTTATGTTATGTTCTAAATGTTAAAGATTATTTTAAATATCAACCAATATTTGAAAATCAAACACCACTCGACGATCAAGATGTATATGTATGTGAATCACGTTATAATATGAAAACAAAAACATTTCGAAAAGTTAAATGGTGGAATTTACCAGAAAATAAACGTGTTAAATTAATACAACGTGATATTCCATTGGAAAATATTCGAATGCCATCAACATTAGTACATCATCGATCATCAACAATAGATAACGATTTAATCGATAAAATTAAAGAAACAATATTCTATGATTCAGTTATCAATGATAAATTAAATGAAAATTCAACAATAAAAAAAAATTTTTATGAACAAATTGTTATTTCATCCAATAATTTTTATAAAGTTGGAGATTTCGTTTATGTAACAAATATTGAAAATAATAATAATAATGGATTAGATAAACGATTTATTCTTCGAATCGATAAAATTTGGAAAGAGAATGAGTAAGTTTTCAATTTGACATTTTCATTCTCATCGAATTTCTCTTTATTCTCAAGGTCATATTGTCTAAGTGGTCCAGTTTTCATTCAACCATCGGACATTATTAATCGAGAACAATTAATTGTTTTATCAAAATGTTTATATGAACGAGAAGTTTTTAAACGTGATGGTCCAAGTACACAAATCTCATTGAACAATATCAAAGGCAAATGTTCTGTACTTTCATTAAAGCATTTTTGTACTCGTAAGTTTTTCGTACATCGATTTATTTCAACAATATATGATATCAATTTATATTTAGATCGACTAACTGAAGTATCTGAATCTGATGTATATGTTTGTGAATCAAAATATGTTGTAGATGATCATAGTCTTCGTGGTTTATCAAAACCATTAAAAGTAAAACCTTTGAAAATGAATTCATATCTTATTTTTTTTGCTATTTCAATAGAGAATATCATTATCTTCAAAGGCAACAGCTGATGAAATATGGACTTTTCGTAAAGAACTCTTACTTAAACAAGTAAGATTTTCTTTATTTTATATTAGAAAGATACAATTTAATTTTATAAGGATATACCTGGTGGTCTATTCAAATTAGTTGACGATAGTTCAACAATAGATACTGAAGATCAATTGAATAGTATTCTCAATGGAGATGAACATCATTCGAATTTTGATAATAATTTAAATTCATCATTCTCAAATCGATATAATAATAATCGAGTAAGAATATATTTTTGTTTTTTTTTTAATTTTTGTAATATTATAATTTTTAAATAGAAAAGTAATCGACGTACGTCCACATCTCGTCCACCGTCTGGTTATCTTGTCTTTGCAAGTGACTCACGAAAACGTTTAGTACGTGATAATCCAGGTATTCCATTCGGTGAAATGAGTCGAATAATTGGTGATCAGGTAAAAAAACAAAACAAAAAAAACTTTGACAAATCGATCTACTTATATTTATGATTATATAGTGGAGACGATTATCTGTATCGGAACGTGAAAAATATGAAGAACGAGCTCGTGAACGAGCAAGAGAACAAGATACACCGATAGCAAATAATTATGTAACTCATGAACCACCACCGCCATCACTACTACCACCACCACCACAAAGAATAGTTAATGGTGGTGTAGCTATAAATGGATATTATCCAAGTATGTCTTTTTCTTTTGAAATAAAATTTTAATAAATAAATAAATAAATTTAGATGTTCAACCAATGAATAGTATCCTTCCTGTTTTGTTAAAAGCACCCATAACAGCACCTGTAAATTTTCCTCCACGAATTCAACGAGTTGTACATTCTGAAACTTATTCAAGGTATATTGATCATCTTAAAAATGATCATCCATTTATATCCGATTGGCCAAAACAACTAAAAGCATCAATTATTAATAATGGAAATATATCATCAAGAACATTACCATCACATTGGTTAATAAATAATAGTCCCGGTTTTTATAATAATGTTTATGAAGCTCTTTGGTCAATGCGTGATAATATGTGGTCGGATGTTGTTCGTGTACGAAATGTACTTTCTGATGAATGGTAGAGAGTTCTTGTTGTTTTTTTCTCCTCTTTTGTTATCTCTACACACTCATTCTACGAGTTGTGTAAGTATAGAATTGTTTATTACAGTAAATATATATATATATATGTATGTAAAATGGGTTATTGTAGAATGTAGTTTTGTGTTTTTCTTTTTTTCTCTTTATGTTTATTTCGGCTTATTGTCTGTATGCACTGTTAATTTTCTTTTTTGGATTCATTTCTTCTAAATCTATATGTAATGCTGAGAAAAACACAATAGCAATTTTGTTTGTTCATTTTCCGTGATATATAACGGGATATATTGTGTATGTCTTGTGAATGCTTTTTTTTAAAATGTACAGAGAGACCATTATGTTATTAAAAGAATATAACAGATGATTTAAAATTAAAAAAAAATATGATATATAGAGAATGGTTAATCAATTTGTTTTAATAAATGTTTATGTATGTTAATGGAAAGAAGAGAATATAGATTTATTACTAATCTAAGATAGTTGTATTCAAGATAAATACATTTTGACTTTTTAATACTAAGTGATGAACTGAACTTCTCTGCCAACACGAGAAGAACGCATATTCTACCTTCTACATTTCTGATATTAGAAGAGCATAGCTTTGTTTGCTTAAAACAAACAATATGACCTAGTTACAAAGGAAACGTACGAAAAAACCTTGATGTTCATTAGCCAAGAAAATAAATACGCCATGATGGATGTTCTTTTTGTATATGATGTATATGCATTGGTCAAATGAACTACAAATAGTTCAATGTGTTTCATTGCATTAAAAATGTTTATTTTTTTATTGACTTTTATTTTGATAAAGTAGTTTTCAACAAAAATGATTTTTCGTTATTTTCTTCCAAAGTATGCTGTCTTATTTATCTTTTCATTATACATCAAAAAAAAACACAAGAAACAACAAATAAACAAACAAAAAAAAACAAATGATGCGCTATATATGTATGAACGAGAAATATAATGAGAGAAGAAAAATAGAAGAAATTTTTCCGACAAAAGTATCATCGAATCGATAAAACAACAAATGAGTTATTCTATGATGGTGGTGGACCCGGTGGTAGTGGTGGTTGTTTAGATGATGGTCCATACATGTGATAGGATGGTGGATACATTGTTGATGATGGTGGCGGATGTGGAAATGATGAATTATAAAATCCAGTGAATGGATTACTTGTCGATGAAGATGATGATGCTGATGGTGGTGGTACTTTTATTCCGTTTGGTTGAGATCTTTGTTGTGTATGCATACCATTACCATTGATTGCTGATGCATAAGGATGTCGGGCTGGCTCATCCTGAATATTAATGTAATATAAGTAAATAAATAAATAAAAAATTTATTTATAATAAAAACTTACATGTGAAGGACGGGAAGTATCTGTTCGTGCACGTTTTATATCTGTTCCATAGGCATTAGTACTGTCAAACCGTGATGTACGTACTGGTGGACTACGACTACGTGATCGTTTATTACTAAAACGAGTTGGCCGAGTATTCGTATTATTGAAATTACTTGCACCACGATTTCCTCCACCTCGATTGCCACTCATATTTCTTCGATCATGTCCTAAATAGAATACATTAAAATATTATTGAAAAAATACAAAACTTTTTTTAATTTAATAAATATACCTCCTCGATAATTATTGCCACCACGATTATTACCAAAATATTTTGTTTTGGCCATTTCATATAATTTTTCATTAACATCTTGATTTGAATCTTTCAATAATTGAATTAATTCTTGGGCTTGTTTAGCATTTTCTCGAGTAAAAAAACTATATGCTGTACCCTTAGCACCTGAACGTGCTGTTCGACCAATACGATGAACATAATCTTCTGTTTGTGGTGGATAATCAAGATTAATAACAATACGTACATCATCCACATCTTAATATATACATAAAAATTAAAAATAAAGTTCTCATGTTTTTTTCTTCTTTGAGAATCTCAATAACAAAAAAAGAAACTAAGAATCTACAAGCACGATGATCATATTACTTCTTATTAAAAAAAAACATTTTTCTCCTTTTTTCTTTCAAAGCAAATCTTATTAAGGCATAAAAGAAGAATAAAAATAAAATAAAAACATGAAATTATTACCGTGCACCAAGTCCACCAAGATGTTCAACGACCGCCAATATTTTTTTTATTATGTGTACGCATTGATATTCGAACGTGTATAAAATCCATCCGTTCGAAGGCAATACGATAACACAGGTAAGCGGCACGCCGAACGTCGATATGACTTAGCACATTTATAATGAAATTTGTAAACCGTCATCATGTCAATAAGACTGAAATAGTCATTAAATATTTTAATGACGTTTAGCCCGAATTTTTCTTAGCTCTCTGTCTGTATTGCTTGACGAACAGCAATGACATGTGCAGGCACGCCTCCGCCGTAAGACGCACCTGCAAAAATAGAAATTGAGATAAGAGTTATAACAATGAATGAACTTATTCAATGAAAAGACAAGAGATAGAAAATAACATACCTAAACCACGAGCAGCAACGTCAGTTGCGATAAGAACAACCCGAGATCGACTGCGAAATTCTATAACAAAAACAAAAAGAAACTAAGATTACTGAAACAACTGTTATTCTTAATAACAAACCTTGTAAAACTCGGTCACGTTCTTGTTGACGTTTATCTCCATGAATTGGAAGTGCTGGATAACCCAAACGTTTAATTGTAAAAAAGAAATCATCTACACGTTTTTTCGTTTGAGCAAAAATGATCACTTTACAATCTTGATCACGCATTACTGCTGATAAAACTTTTGCTAATCTAATTCACACAAAAAAAAATTATTTTTTTGTTATCGAAATAAAATCTTACTTTGATTCTTTTTCATGTTCTTCACATACATCAACAATTTGATGTATATTTTGATTAGCATTTAAAATGGCTTTACCCAATGTTATATGTGCACAATTTGTCATGAAATCTGATGCTAATTTTTGAACTTCTTTTGGCCATGTTGCACTAAACATAGCTGTTTGACGATCAGGTCGAATGCATTTGATAATTTTTCGTATTTGTGGTTCAAAACCCATATCAAGCATTCGATCAGCTTCATCCAAAACAAGAAATGTAACACGATCAAGATTAATTGTTTTTTCACGTACAAAATCTAATAGACGACCTGGTGTAGCAATACACACTTCAACACCATAACGTATTTCACGTTTTTGTGGTGGTTTTGGTGCACCACCATAAATGCAAACACTTCGAGAATTTGTTGCAGCACAAAAATCAGCTCCAACAACTTGAATTTGTTGAGCTAATTCACGTGTTGGTGCAAGAATAAGTACAAGTGGATCACCCGATCTAGAATTGGTTTGACCAGCTGCATGAATTAATGCGGGTAACATAAACTATAAGATAATATTAAAAAACAAAATGAATGATTTATATAGAAAAAAAAACTCAATTCGTACCGATAAAGTTTTTCCGGAACCTGTTTGAGCAATACCAACAAGATCACTTCCAGTTAATAGAATAGGCCAAGCTTGTCCTTGTATAGCTGTTGGTCGAACATAACCAAGTTGTTGAATAACATTACGAATAGCACCTAATGAAATATTATTATTACAAATTAAAATTTAATTATCCAATTAATCTCACTAGGAAATTGTACTTCATCAAATGCAAGTATTGGTTTCGGTGCAAAGCCACGTATTGACATTTCGTTTTGAACATAAAATTGATCAGTAATATGCTATTGTAACAACGAGATTAAAATTTAATTTATTTTAGAAAATATATATATATACTTGTGGGCGATTTGAAATCATGGGTGATTCGGTATAGAAATTTTTTATTACTGGTGGTCCAGGACGTAATGGTGCTACTGTAAATGAATCCAAATCATCGAGTAAACTATTTCCACCATGTCGATCACCACCACCTCGATGATTCCCATACGAACCTTTACAAGAAAAACAACAACAACATTAATACTGAAAAACTTTTTTCTTTATACAAGATATTACCTCTTGATGATCCATAACTATTATTACCACCACGATTATAATAACTCATTTTTTTTTCTGAAAAGTAATGTTCTATAAAATCGGATTATTTTCTCTCTAACAATGACGAAATATGTGTATATATATACATATTTTTTTTTAAATAGAAGCCATACTGTATGTATGTGTACACTATCATGAAGGATGTTTTCTTTATGAATAAAAAAAATTATAAAAATAATTATTTTATAGAAAAAAATTTAAAGAATATTTAAAATATTGTTTTTGTTTAAGAAAAAGAATTTGTTTTTATTAATAGCGCCACATGATAATAATCAATGTCGCTAGGTGGATGAATATATTCTTTTCATACACATGGAGTTTCCTCAACTAGGTCAGCATTGTTCTGCTACAACATGCAACAAATTAGGTATTGTCTTTTTTAGTAATTATTTTTTAATAATTTTTTTTCTATAGATTTTTTACCGATGAAATGCGATGCATGTAGTGCTATATTTTGGTAAATTTTAATCTTTTTTTTGTATTTTAATAATTTATTTTTTGATAGTAATGATCATATAAAATATGATGAACATCAATGTCCATCATCTCATCGTAAAAATATTCAAATACCTATTTGTCCATTATGTAATCAAGCTGTGTCATATGAATATCGTGATCAATCGCGTGATCATGCTGTATCAGCTCATATAGATCGTGATTGTAAATCGAAAAAACGTGAGAAGGTTTACTCAAATAAATGTTCAATTCCATCATGTAAACAACGTGAAGTTATTCAAGTGAAATGTGACATATGTTTAAAAACATATTGTCTACGACATCGTTTTCCTGATGATCATCAATGTCAACAAATGAAAAATACACCAGTTACTACTTCGAAACCATTACCAACGAAAGTATCTTCAAATCAAAGGTAAAATTTATTTTTTCCTCAATTTTTATATTAATAATATTTTTGATTTTCTCTTAGAACTCAAGAAGAAGATGATTATCTATTAGCTAAAGCTTTACAAGAAAGTGAACGAGAAGAATCTCAACGAAACCGCACACATGTAAATATATCGAATGTTCTCTACATGACAGTGATGAGTGAATATCGTGCCCTCTTTAATTTACTTTCTATTTTTCGAATGAAAATAATCTATTTATATTCACTCATTATTATAACTGAAATCTTAATCTATATCATTTTATCTATTTTTAGCAAACGACGACAACAGCAACAAATAACAGTGCTTCATCGGCTGATAAAAAAACATGTTCTATTCAATAAATAATGTTATTTTTTAAAAAGAAATAAATTGACAGTTTTTTTTTGCTTTTTTACGGGGTGTGTAAATATAACTTATAAAATATTCCAGATAAAATCATGGATTTTGGTGAACCATCTCCAGATGTTATTGCTCGATTATATAATGAAATAAAAGAAAAAAAGGTTTCTTTTTTGGATATTTATCGTTTTTTGTTATGTATAGACTTTTTTTAATTAGATTCTTGAACTTGATTGGAAAAGTCCAGGTAAAAAAAGTCGAGCAAAAATACAAAAAAAAGCTGAAAAACATATTAGTCCTATTAAATCAGATGAATCTACTAATTCCAAAACTGAAGAAAATAAGTAAGAAGAGTAAAAGATTACAATCTCTTATTCTATTTCTTTTTTTTCTCTACAGATTAATGAATGAAATTGATGAATTTGATAATGATGATGCGTTAACATCAAACAATATAACTGTTACTTCATTTCGTTCAGCTGGTACATTCCACACTAAATATTATTTCAATATATTCTTAAATTTTTCTTTTAGTTGGTAAACCAAAAACTAATGAAAAACGTCTTATTGATATGAATACTGTTATTGCTAATATTGAACGTCAACAACAAGAAGATGAACGAATTCGGTATGAGTAAAATATTTAATTCAAACAAAATGTCTTATGTATATTTATTTAGACAAGGTATGGATACATCATCGAATGACAAAGTTTGAAAATAATTCATATTTATTATGTATAAATTGTACATGATTTGTATTCTGTTAGTGTTTACATGTAGAATAAATAAAAAAATGGGAAAACATTAAGATTTTTTAAGCCATTTATGAATTGAAGCAAGTTGTTTTAATTCAGCCATATCAACATGATAATCGTCGGTTATTGTGTTATTATATTCACATAAAATTGAAGCTGACGTTCGTCCATGTGCACAAATGAAAGGCATTGAACAAGATTTTAATTCATTCAAAAGATGATTACATTCATTCTTTGATAAAATGTCATTAAATTTAATTGCATTATGACAAGCTAATGATTTAAGTGTTTCATACATAATTAATTTCGATTGATTATTTATTGTAAGAAGAAGAATATTATTAATTGTACTAGAAATAATATTATCAAGTAAAGATGTGGATGATTCACGTTGTTTAAGTGTTAAAATCCAATTAGGTACAGATCGAACAAGAAGATTATGAATTGATATCGAAGAAAACTTAAAACCTGTACGTTCAAGTAGAGATATTTGTTCGGGTGTATAAAGAAAACGTGGATTACGAGGAATAGTAATTGGTTGAGATAATCGAAATGAAATTGAATGAATATTTTCTTTCTGAAGTTGTTCGAGAAGAATACGTTCGGATATAGCATGTTGATCGAAAAGAATTATTTGAATTTTATTAATATTTGATGAATGAATAAAACGTTTTGTGACAAGAAATTTTTTATCAAATTGACCAAGAAAATAAATTTCATGAAGAATATTTATATTTACAGATTGTTTTGATAGCATTTGTTGAATATTAAATATTGCTGGATAGATACGAGGAGGTAATATATTGTTTACAATTGAATAAGAATTATCGGAAGATTGTTGTTGATTTTGTTCAGTAACTTGAAATATCTGACGAATATTTGTTGAAAGACGAACGGGATGTTGATGCTGATGATGAGTTGTATTACGTTTATATATAGACCATTCTCGTCGTTTCGATTGAATAAGTGTATATTTATAAGCATTTGTACGTGAATTTTCAAGAAGTATCCGTTGTCGTTTATGATATAATGTTTCTAGTTGATCATTGACTGTATTAGACATTGCGCGAGCTGCATGATATCGTTCAAGAAGATTACTATCAATCGACATTTTGTTCTAACTGTTTTTAAATTTAAATATAGATCGAATAGTATCGTTGAAAATAAACAACCCTAGATGAACACTTGAAGAAAGAACGAATAAAAAAATCGTCTTATTAACTAGTTGAATTGAATACATATGTATTTGCTCGGTTTATATATTATTCAAACATTCATCTTTTGCTATGATAATCTATTGACGTATGTTTGATGTTATTCATCAAAAGAATTATTTATTTTGATTTCTCAACACAGAATATTCAATAATATTTTCCGGTAAAATCACATATGAGTAGATTTGAAAAGGAGTTCATTCTTGTAAATATGTTTATCATGGTATCCCGAAAGATTCACACGAGCTCACGAATAAGGTTATGAACATGGGCGGCGCGATAGCAAGTACCGAGTCAACAATTGCGTCTCCTAAAAAATCGAAGTTGCGCCGCCTATGGGTACGAAGGTAATATTGAATAGATTCGTTTTATTTCCAAACGTCTTTCTCATACCCATTTCTTATCACATATCCTAACTAAATTCACCAGAATGGATACAAAACACTCATGCGATAAACTGAATGCTATGATTTTATAAAAATTGTATGGAACTATTTTATTTATCATATTTTATATCAAAACACACACGCACACAGATGAGTTAACTGAGATTACTTTTAAATATAAAAACAAATCTAATAGAAAAAAATGATTCACCATTAAAAAGTAACTATAAATTAAACAAGATGCTAATAATGGAGATATAAGCAAACAAAAACTGATCTGCTCTTGTTGCACAAGAAAAATAAATAAATAAATTCATATATTTCGAATCATTCCTAAATCTCGATCAGCTTCTTGAATTTCATCTAATTTTTTACTGAATATTTTTAGAAGTTTTCCAGCAAATTCTTCTTGTGAAACAAGTAATTTTGATACTTTTTGTCGTATTTTATCATTTTTATTAATGTTATTATCATCTTTTGCATGGCCCTAAACGATAATCAATAATGAGAAAAAAATAGTACTAAAGAAAATGATAATTTCAATACCTGAGAACTATCGTCTGTTATTGACATAATATCATCAAGATCATCTTGAGTTAAATTTAATATTTTACTTGCTGTACTCATCGCTGTATCATAACCAGGCAATGTCATTGATAATGATTCACGTTGTCTTTGATGTTCACGTGCTCGTTTAACATTATCTTTCATTTGAACACTTCGTCGAATCATTTCATAAAGAAGACCCTAATAGAAAACAGAATCAAATCTTTTTTTTTGTAAATCAACAAAATTTAAATTACATTAGTAAATTTTTCATGTTCATGTAAAGATCGTCGTGTACGATCTAATTCAAATGCAAGTTTATTCAATGTTTCTTGATTTTTTGTATTTAATGTTAATAATTGTTGTTCAGATAAACGACGTGTCGTTAATAATTCTTGATTTATATGTTCATGATTAAGACGATGTTGTCGAAGTTGTTGTTCATTTAAACGATGTTTTGTTTGAATATCTTCATATCGTATTTTCTATTTAAATAAATAAGATATAATTTATTGAAAATAAAGAAATATATAGTTACTAATTTTTGATGTTCATCAAGGGTTTGTTCATAACGTGTCTCAAGAAGTTGTTTTTCTCGCGATACAGCTTGTAAACGATTCTTATAGGAATCGAGCTAGAATAAAAAAGGTAAAGTCATATTAATCTTTATTGTTTAATCGACTATGTGAGCAAAAGATGTCTTGTATTTAGTCGGTTATTGGTTCTCTAGTTTTAAAAATACATACTGAAACTCGTAATTTGTCCATTGTTTCTGTTAGTGCTTTAATTCGTTCTTCATCACTCTGTTTAAATAAATAGAAAAAAAGAGTAGTTATATATATATCATGATTCGGATTACTTCATGTGTAGATTTTTCATGTGCACGATTTCCATTTGTTTCGATGTCAGTTAATCGTGTTTTATAATTTTCAATTAAACTTCGTTTACTTGCTATATCACGTTCTGTGTGTGTTAATCTATATAGATATATAATGGAAAAATAATAAAATAAAATAAAAATAAGAATATTTTTTTAGCTGACTTGTCAGTTAATGATTGAAGATTTTTTGTAAGTGTTTCATTATCTTCTTGTAAAGTTTTATTTAATTTACGTTGTCGAGTAGCATCAAATGATGTATTTTTAAGACGAACATATAAATTTTCAATAGTTTCACTACTATCCGAAGTTGAAGAATCACTACGTCGATTTTCATTTAAAGATAATGTTGATTGAAGAAGTTGATCATGCTTTGCTCTATCACTTTCATTAAGAAGTCTCTAGAAGATTAGACAAAAACCTCAATATAAAAAAAACATTTATCCGAAATAACAATTCGAACTTGATTTGTAGCTTTAAGAATATTAACTCGATTGAGTGTTGTTGTTAAACGTTGATTAAGATGTGCATTTTCATCTCTAGCATTTGTAAGATCCATTTCTAATTCTTCAATACGTCTACGCATTGTTCCAATCTAATAAAACAAAACAAAGCAAAAATGATTAATTCTTATATTTGTCAAAAAATCATATACTCTAGTTGGACATTTTTTTTTTGATTGAGGTATTGAACATTTTCTTGCATACTGTGAATATGGATCACGTTGAAAAGAATTTGCTAAACGAACTTTATTGTTAGCATTTTTCTTTAATGGAGTATCTAAAATAAAATATTTTAACAGCACAAATATTAATTTAATTACTAACATTTCTTTTTCGGCATTGTTGATGATATTGATGGTCGTTTTTTACGTTTCATGAATGAAGCTTCTGTATGATAATCACAAAGACTGCATGCACGATAGTGTTGTTGTCGTCGCCATCGATTCGTATTAAATTTTTCTGATTTAGCTGATGATACTCGATAACGAGCAGATGATTCATTTGGAAGATCATCAGCATATCTAGGAGATGGATTTAGATCTAATAACATTTCTAAACATGATTTATTTGGATTCTTTTTAATTATTCGTTTCTTTTTAATTAATGATGGTTTAATAATATTTTTTTTATTTGGTAATTGATTATTTCGTTTTAATTTATGAATTTGATCTTGTAATGCTAATATACGAAGTTTAAATTTTTTTAATTCACTCGTTGTTTGTGTTCGTTGTTGAATTAGATGTTGTTTTTCATCAATACATAAATCAAGACTAGTTTTTAAACGTTCTTGTTCAAATATTAAACATGTTCGTTCAGTTTCGAGATCATATAATTTTTTATCATATTCTTCAATTAAACGTTGTTGATCATCACTTGATTTAGTTATTAATGGAGATGAAATTTTTGATTGACGTAGTTCATCTTTATCATTTAATAATTGAATTTCATTTCGAAGTTCACCAATAACAATTGTTTGTTCATTGATTTCAATTTCTTGTAAATCAACTTTTTCTTGTAAACTTACACTAATTCGAAAAAAAAGAAGAAGTTGATATGTTTTAGAAAATTAAATATATTGATCTTACTTTTCGTTAACTACTTTTGCATTCTCTCGTCTTAATTTTGTTACTTCATTCCAAACATTATCATCATCTTCATGTTTAAGTACTTTTCGTTTCGAACCTGCTGGTTTTCTTCGTTGTTGATCATCACATACTGAACAGCCAACTTTATTTTTTCTTATAACTCGACCATAAAAATAATTATTAGGAGTACTTTTTTGTAATATTTCATCATCAGTATATGATTGTAATTCATCTTTAATTGAACGATATTGTTTTTGTAAATGTTTAAGACGTAACCAACGTTTATCATGAACTTTTTTTAATGTAACTATTTGATCATCACGTTTAACAAGTAACTGTTGAACATTAGCTAAACGATCTGTTAACGTATGAATTTTCTTTTTTAAATATTCAATATCTAATGGAGATGATGTTGGAGATTCATCTCGAATTGGTGGAGATGGACGACGTTTCTTTTGAGATGAAGATCGAGTTGGTCTAAAAATTTAAAATTGAATTAATTGTTTATTTTGTTAATAACTTACTTTCCCGTAGATGAATTTCGTCCAATATTTTCATTACAACTTTGCCAACGGCTGTCATGAGATAAGTGCCCCTTGAAGAAACAAAGAAAGAAAGAAGGAAAGAATATTTTCATAATCAATAATAAAAATAGAGACTCACCGGTTCTGATTTATCTCGCTTACGACGGAGAGTTAGTTTTAAATGTTCAATTTCATTATCACGATCACGTAACGTCTGGACATAAAGAAAATATTTTCAATACAATAATTTAACATTTATGAGATTCTTGATATAAACCAAAGAGTAGTATAAAAAAGCGAGCTGTCTTCTATTAACGGATGCTATCTACTTGAACAGTATTATAACGGAATACATATCGATGAGAGATATACGGTTTTTCTAAATAAGTCTCGATGTGTTTTCGTCACCTCTTTACAACGGTGAAAACCGCAGCCCTCCATCTTGTTCCTATCCATGATATGAAACATGCCTAATTTCAAATTAATAAGATATACAAGTCTTTAGTTGATGTCATGATCAGCACCCGCGCTAGCGGGGGGGGGGGGGGAGTGGTGTACACTCTCCGTATAATTGGAAATTTTTTTTTTCAACGACGGGAGCTGATTTAGAACAAATTTTGTGTTTTTTTAGCAAATTTTGCTCTAAATGTCCTTTTACACCCCCCGAAAAATTTTTACACTCTTTCAAAACCTGCTACACCCCGCCCTCCCCAATCTTACACCCTTCGCGCGGGCTCTGGTCAGGATCTTTTTTTCTAAATAGATCATTATCTATTATAAAATCTAAAAGCACTCATTTGGAAATATCGAAACATAGCCTATATTTCAAAGTGATTTATTTCTCAGAACATTATCTATAATATGTAGATGTCTAATCATATTCGGATTGTGAAATAATTTTACTCAGATATAACGATCATAGTTCCGACAAATTCTTTTATTCAAAAATTCAAGTGTTTATATTATAGTCCTTTCATTTTTTGAAATAAGTCTATATTGAGCAGTCTTAGAGTTACAAAAATACGTATATACAATTGACTTATTAGGACTTCATTCGATACGAACTTATGTTTAAGTACTTGTAGTTTTGAATACTATTTACAATCTTTTTCAAGTTCACTTCTACATGCCAGAAGAAATATAATCTATAGTTTTGAACAGTGAAAGACAAAGCGAGGTAAAACCTTGTGAATTTGTATTTCTTACGAATTGTCAAGATATTACTAAGAAGGTGTATCAAGTATCAATCCTATATAAACTATTTTTATACGTGACTCAATATAAACTATATAGTCAGCAATAAGCTAGCGAAAATATAACATACAACGATGTACTTCTTCGTCAAAGTACCTAATTAAGATCTTTTGAACTATAGAAATAAAACTAATATCATTTCTTTGTATTCAAACGAAAACTTCATATTGCTTCTCAGTAAATAAAGGATTAGATTGACTATCTTTTTATATGGCTTGTTTGTTAAATATTTGTTAAAGTTTACATTATTCTAATAAAAAAAAATGTAATAGGTTATTGTTACTAATTAAACATTGAAATAAGGATAAAAATCTGATTAAAGTATCGTTCAATTGATTAGAAAAAGTCTATATAGAAAAAAAAAGTTTGCGTGACAATATAGACATGTCAATAGAAAATTAATTGAAGGACTTATTCTTTGCATTAACTTACATTTTGAAGGGTTGCAATGTGTACTTTTAATGAATTGTCTTCAAAATCTCCATCTATAGTTTTTTTAGAAATAAATATTTTTTTTATTAAATATTAACTAAAATATTTACTTGTTTGTTTTTTCTTCGATAAATCACTGATTTCTTTTCTAATCAATGAAAATAAGAAAATTTAAAAAAAAAATATTTTTTTTCTTTTGATTAAAATCCTTACCTAAGTTTAGCAATAGTTTCTTCATGATTTTCAACTGTTGATTTATAGGAATCAAGTTTATGACGCCAAAGTTGTGTATCAGCAGCAATACGATCAAATGTCTAATCAATAATTTTAAAAGAGAAATACAAAACAAAAAATTCTACCATAATTTTTTCATGACTGATAGCTTCAAAATCAGATTTCTCTCTTAATTGTTTTGTTAGATCATTAATATGTTCATATAAACCTAATTAATTAATTTATTTCAATAGAATTGAGAAAAATATTAAGAATCCTACGTTCATTTTCAATTTGACAATCACGTATTGTTTTTTCAAAAGTATGTACTTGTAATTGATGTAATTGTTCAAATGTTTGTGTCTAAAATATTTTTTATTATTCAAAAAAATAGAAAAATATAAATGCGTAATATTAACCTTTCCTTCATACTGTCGTAACTGTTCTTCAAGTGCACGAAATTCTACATTTTTCTTCTTAAGTAAATCTTCTAAGTATGATTCACTAGATATATATATATATGTATATGAATATACATCAAAATTACCCAAATTTTCTTTATTCTTACCGTTCTTCTAATTTAGTAATGGAAGCATTTTTTTCTTGAACAACACGTTCAAGTTTTTCTATTAATTGTTCACGATTTTTTGATCGAAGTTCTTCACTGTTTAATAATGTAAACTGATGATCACTTGTAAACCTTAAATAAAGTATTAGTAAATGTTCTGATTTATATTATAATTTTATACTTCGGCTCTATAAAAGCACTCGATGGTGCGTGAACACCATTCGGAGTAGCCATATTTATTAAATAGTTAATCTTTTCTTAAAGAAAAGCTTGACTGTATTATCGATCATTACACACGTATTTCTTTTTCGTTACCTTAACTACCCTCTCCTTGTTGGTTTCACTGCATTCAAATGCACTACTGTGTTGAATGATAGAAATAAAGAAAAAGAACATAGAAAAAAATTCTCGCGGTATTGAAAATTTTCAATCTTATGAAATGAATATAAATATCGATAGATTTCGAATATCTTCTTACTCGGAGGAGATCATTTTTCTATCATTGTTCTTTGTTACTAAACAAACGTCGTGTCGGACTATAATAGAACTGTATCTAGTCTTTGTTCTTTTTAAATCTATACATTCTCGATTATTCGTCGACCATTTTCTTTCCTTCTGCTTCAGAATTCAAACGATCGATCAGATATTCTTATAACAATGCCACCAAAAAAAGGAACTACTAAGACAACAACATCAACTGAAAATGATACTGATCCCAAACAAATTCAAGTTAATATAGAATTATTCATAGATAAAAATTAAATATTTCCTATTTAGAAAAAACAAGATGAAGAAAATCAGCAACCAACAGAAACTGAACAATTAAGTCCAAAGAAAAATTCCACTGAATCAAAAAAAGCTGGAGTAAATTATTTCGAATTTAAATTTTTTAAGAAAAATATCTATTCTATCAATTAGAATAATAAAGCTGCTGGTCGATTACGAAAAAAATCTGAAGCTGAAAAACTTCAAGAAGAAGCATCTGGTGTAAATATATACATGTCATTGTATATTTTTCTATATTATAAGAATTTATAAATTTAGTTTATTGACCGAGCAAATAAAAAATCTGAAGTAGCTGATGATTCAACAGAAGAAGATAATGATGATGAACAACAATCATCAAAGAAAAAATCGAATACATCAACTAAAGCAACTGGAGCTCGTGGTGGTAAACGTCAAGCAGCTAAAAATATGCCTACACATGATGAAGAAGAAAACGAAGATGAAAAGGCATCATCGACTTCTACAAAAGCTCCAGCTAAAGGCAAAGGTGCTGCTCAAAAAAATAAAAAACCAGAAGAAGATGAACAAAAAGATGCTGGTAAATAATTTAATCCTTTCCGATAAAAACACCGGCAAAAGATTACCAAATAACAACATTCGATTAGAAGGAATTTATTTTCTTTTATCTAGGTACTGGTGAAGATGATGATGTTGAAAATGAAGATGAATCACCAAGTAAAAAAACTAAAGGTAAAGCAGGTCGTAAACCTGCTCAAAAGAATAAAACCGAAGCTGAAAATGAACATGGTAATAATGAAATAAATATTTTTTTCTTTTGACAAAAATTTATTATTTTAGAACAAAATGAAGACAATGATACTAAGAAAAAATCAGCTACTGCTCGTAAAGGAAAAGCTGGAGCAGCATCAAAAAAATCTGAAACTGAAGAAAAATCAACAAATGATGATCTTAAATTATCTGAAGATGAAGACGAAATAGCTGATGATAAATCTAAAACTACAACAAAAAAAGGACCCACAAAACGATCTGCACCAGCATCTGGAAAGAAAACAACTATTTCATCAACGAAAAAGAAGGGCCAAACTGATGAACCATTTGAAGATCGTACAAATGACGAAGAAATTGAAAATAATACTGATGAAGGTTAGAGCCGCAATTTTTCATTGAATTAAATTTTCGGAAATTTTTTCGTCTAGATGTTACACCAGCTAAACAACCAAAAAAAGGTCGTTCAGCTGATAAAGCTCCAACATCAACTAGCAAAACTGCTGCTAATCGTAGTGGTAAGAAAACTAAAGCCACATAAACATATAAATAGTATTAATAACAATCAAAACAAAATCTAGGATTTATTTTTTATATTGTGTTATTAATTGTAGCTCTCCTTTCATTATGTTTGTACAAATATAACTTTCTTATATGTTTTCTTACTCTCTCTCTTAAATGAACTTTATTTTTTTTTTGTTAATTCTTGTAATAATCAAAACTTTATGTGTTCTTTCTACTAATTGAACTTGATTGTGCAAATGTTACTAATCAAAAACTTAATAAAATGATTTTCATCTCTATAAGCATGAGAAATGCAATACAAATGATATAGAATTTTTTTATATTCGATTTATATAATCAGAAGAAATTTTATTTGAATGAAGATTTAAAAACAAAAAAGTGCATTCTGATAATTATTTCAATTTCATTTTTCTTTACCAATTGATATCGAATTTGATTGGAATATGATCACTGATAGCTAAAGTTTGGGCTAAATTAAAGCCAAATTTTTCTGCAATGTTAACTGTTGTGTTACTATTTGGTACAATAGCATTAACAAAGTTATCACCGTTGACTAAAATACGATCATAGGTACATGTTTGTCGTGTATTTGTTTTGACTTCATTGGTAATCACCCATGAGAAATCAACATAATTGATTGTTCTAAAATAAGAGAAATATATCAAATGTATAGAAATTATTTTGTTAATTAAATTTACTGGAGTAATTTTTGACGTGTAGGTGAAATATATGTGCAATCAGCATTGAAATCACCAACGATTAAAATAGGATGATTAGATTTCAAACTTGGTTTATTGTCAGGTGTAGCATCAACAACATTTCGGTCTAAAGCTTCTTGTAGTGATGTTTCTGTTTGATCAAAATATTGTGGATGTGAGCTGATGAAATCACGGACAACATAACGCATAGCAAGTAATTCTGTGTATGCACCATCAGGTCGTAAATGAACATCCATAATAGTGAATAATTTTACACCGGAATTACCTGGTTTTTTAACTTTAAATGTACCAATGAAACTAAATGATAATTAGAAAAATAGAAGAAAAAAACAAAAGAAAAGTTTTCTCTTACGGTGGACGTTCGAAATTATCTTCGATATCTGGATGAAGATAAGCATCAACAACTTCAAGACCAGATGTACTTTCTCGATTGAAGAAAATATATTGTTCTTTTGTGTTTGATCGACCAGCACGTTCACTTAATGTCATTGTGTATGGACTTGGTGAAACTTTATTGAGTTCATCAAATAAAACATATGGTGCTTTCAATGAAACATCACTAATTTCTTGAATGATTCCTAAATCGAAATCATTGATGATTTGAGCAACAGTATTTGTTAATGATGGATTGGCTGCTTTTTTACTTCCATATTGATGTAAATTAAATGAACCGACACGAACAGCTGAAGCATAGGTGCCAAGTGCGATAGCTAAGATCAGAATGCTGGAAACTAATTGCATTGTTGTATTGACAACAGCTATTTCCAAAAGGGAGTATGTATGATGAATGCGTTACAATAAGGCATTACAATCGCTATTTATACCGTACAGGTTGCTCTCCTGGATTTACTTTTAATTACATTTCGCATCTGGATTAAAAAATGAAAATCTTTATTTTTTTCGTTAAAATAACATTATCGACCGGGTAAGGTTTCATTACTAATTTGTTTTTTTTCAAGATTTGCATAGTCATACTTCGAAATATGAAAATAGAAGCCTTAAAAATATTATATCTAAAACCCAATCAACTCTATTTGTTCGCGAACATTCGATATTCTAAAACCACGTCACATGATTAAATTTTAATCTAAGGATTGAAAACAGAATTTCAGTGAAATTTTCTTTCATTGTGCAAATATTTTTTTTTCTTATATTTTCTTCTTTTTTACATACGTAAAAATAGAAAAAAAAATCGAATTCTTTTATTATATTTCTTGTAAAAAGAAGATCATATTCATGCATCGTGGAAAAATAGATATAAAACAAACGAGGAGAAATATTTGTAAGATATTTTAACAAAAAAAGAAAGAAAAGAAAGATGTTTTTTCTTATATATGTATATAACAAACAATACACACACATAATATCGTTGGCAAAGTTCGACAACGAAAAGAAATGTTTGATAGATCTTCATTGTAAAAGAATTGTCAATGAAATATAAAGTATAGTATAAAATGAATTAGAAAAAGCCAAGTGGTTTTTTAATATTTGTTTGTTTCCAATATGGTAAAGCGTAGAATTCGTCTTTAGACATATGAAATTGTTTCTAAAAAAACAAATCAATAGGAAATAACGATAATAAAATTTAATAAATATACTTGAAAATCTGTTTCAGAAAGATAAGATTCAATTTTTGATGGATCAACACCTACAAATATATAATTTATTTAAAAAAAATTCGAAAAGAAGTTATTATACCTTCTGGTAATGGACGAGTTCGAAGTTCTTCTATACTGTATTGATCTCGACATAATTGATTAAGTACATCAATAACTGAATCTTTTTGATTCAATTTTTTACCTTCCTAGAAATTTATGAAAATCAATTAAGATTAATACATGAAAATTTTATAAACAAACCAATTGATTTTGTTGACGAGCTTTTATATGTACACTCCATTTAGGAAATAGATTAATAAAATCAATTGGTTCTAAACCAGCATATATAATTGAACAGGATAAATTCACAGTTGATGAACCAGTTTTTGCTAGAAAATTATATTTTATAATAATACGAAAAATATATTTCTATAGTTTACTTTTATAATAATCCACAGCTGTTAAAAAAGCACAACGACGTTCTGTTGTAAAACGAATATCTTTGGTGCCGCGTACCACTGAATTATTATTAGAAGTCGGTGAACCTAATTCATCATGTAATTGATCATTCCATCCTTGCCATATATATAATTCAGTATTAGTATCAATTAAACATAGAGCTGGTTGATGAAGTTCATACAAATCAGATTGTGTAAAAGGAAATGGTGATATATGATCAGGAGAACGAAGAGGATAAAGAAGTTCTTGAGCAACAAATGGACCGTGAAGGCTTGATAAATGAAAGATACGCATAGTTGATAAAAGTTCTGTATTTGATGGAGCTAGAATAGAACAAAACAACGAATTATTACTGAATTTTGCCAATAAGACATGCTTATTCTGATAGTACTAGGTTAATTTGTCACATGTATTTTACAATACTCTTGTGTTATTACAGTTGGCAAAAACCCACTGGACTTACGCCAAATCGCGCCTGAGCTTTCGACAATCGGCGAATGTCCATTGTAGTTTTGCCAACAAACTGCTCTCACTTTCGCCAATGGCGAATGTCCGTGCTAATCATTTAGAAAATACTACTATCAGAAAGTGAAAGATTTACTCATATGATACACTCCTGAATGAATTTCTGATTTTTTCCAATATATATAATGAATTATTACCATTTAATAGTGAATAATATTTTCGTTCATGATTTCTTTCATTGATTCCTTCCCAAAATAATTCAATTTCATCACCTTCTTGCATTTCAAAAAATTCAACATCTTCGCTATCACCATCAAAATGAAATTCTTCCGGACATCTAAAATATATGATTTAGAAAATTTGTACAAAAAAGACGAATTAAATTCAATTGACCTTTCACGTAATTTCATAACTGATCTACTTGCTAAATTTTGTTGTTCATCTGTTGTTTCATAACCATGCCAAAGTAACATTAAATTTTCAGAATTATTAATTAATAAAAATGATGTTCGACTACGTAAATTTGCACTGGTAACATTTAATTCCCACCAATGTGTTTCAACATCAATTTCGCCAAGAAATATATATAAATGCCAATTTGATTTTTTCTCATTTATTTGATTACGTTTACCTATATGAATAGTTAATGTACCATCAAATAATTGTAAAAATGCTGCTTCTTCATGTTCTTGCGCTACATGAATCTAACATATAAAATTCTTTTTATTGTTATTTTTTTGGTCAATAATTTAACTTACATGTGGTCCTTTTTCTTCTTCAAAACATACAGTCATTAATGCTGATATACCTTTTTCATTAGCATTAGCATTAACACCTTGCCATATCCAATAAGCAATACGTGTACGAGCTGTATCGATTTTTTGTCCGGATGTTTTATTATTAATTAATGGCACTAATTTATATTTCCATTGAATAATATAAACATCATCAGAATAAAATTGTCCATAACTTGATTTCGATAATTCATGTCGTTCATTTTCACTAACATGCCAAACATTTAATGATATTGTTTCGATATCATGTCCACGCATTTCAACAGGATCATACCTTTAAAAAAACAATATAAATATTTGTTTTTCTTTCAATTATATCACATAATACTAACCAATGTCTTCCTCGACCTAAACTAATTTGTTCAACAATAAAATTTACGGGAGTATCTTGTTTAGCCAGCATATTATGTACATCGGCTGGTTTGAGTGTTTCAAGAATTGAACGTGGCTAAAAAACAATATACATTGAAAATATTAATGTAAATATCAATACATACACGTTGTGTGGACGGTATTTTAATATTATTTGTTACATCATTAACCGGTTTAATTTCTTGTAGATCATTTGGCCAATCATAAAATTTTCCTTTAAATAGTAATGTTTCAACATTTTGATTTTGTTTTCCAAATATACACCATGCTGGTCGATTACCACCCGATTGATCAATTTCTTCATTTTCATCTATATATACATAAAAAAATATTTATTTAAAGATTTGAATAATTTACAAACGCAAAAGGATAGAATTACTGATGTAATCTAGAAGATGTTTTGGTATGTATATATATCAGTAAACTATTAGCATATCGTCTTAGATGGTATCACGAGATAAAATTATTTCTCAAGATTCTGACATTGTTTCGCTTTTAAAAAGAAATTATTGTAGCCAAAACTGAATTAGTCATTTTTTGTCATAGAAATCATATCTCCTAATACGTATTTTTCTTATCGAAAAAAATTACCATCAAATGGATTATATGGATTAATAATTGATTCACTATAATCATATGAATCATTCCATAATTGTTGTGCTAATTGTAAACCCATATTTCTTTTTATTTTATCAGCAAATTTTCCATTCCAAACATAAAGTTCCGAACCAAAATCAAATACAAATACTTCATTTGGATCAAGAATTTTAATAGATAATGAACGAAAACAAAAATTTTCCAATGGTAAAAGTAAATCATTTTCAACACGATAAACACGATTTAAATCAATTATATTTGTTTCATAAAAATCATCATCTGTCACATCATTTATTAATTTATAATCATCTATTTCACCTTGTAACATATCACGAAATTCTGCATGACTATCATCTTCAGTATCATCTTTAGCTTGATCTAATATAAAATATTTAACTTCATTACGTAAACCAAAATCACGATGTTGTCTTAAATAATCAATTATATCAGTTGCTCGAGCTTTTTCCAATGTATTTGCATAACGACCAAGCCATGCAAAAACTTTCAATGGTGTTATTAATAAATAACAATCACCTTCATTTATTGATTCATACATTGGATTAACAAGACGTAATGAACATTGACGACGACCTTTTATTAATATAAGCATTATTTCTTTATATGGTTCATAACCAAATTTTGCTACAGGTGTTTGATCAATTTTACGTAAATTAACTTCAGCAAAATTTTCTCCTGCAGTTAACGCAGCTAAAGCTTCTTGAGCTACACCAGCATTTTCAGCAACTAAAGAAGAAAAAAAGAAACTTCTATCTTCCTGCTCATTTACATTATAATAATTATCATTTTCTAAGCACTGTTACATTTGTTTATGATACTTTTCCCATAATAATGAATCGTACATATTTACAGTGAAAACTAATTCTGAAATATAAGATTTCAAAATTAACGATGTCATCTATTCAGGAAATTGTGAATGTGAAAGAAACGGAAGGAAACATCAGGCAACTGTTGACAGTATGGTTATGAATGTGAAGAAGACATATAATGCTCACATCCGCATTTATACTCATATGTTACATTTCTTTCATACTTTGTGCTCGTTTTATTCGACGAACTTCTTGTTCAGATACATTTGTATGTATTTCAGTATATTCATTTTCTGTTGGTATATTTGCTTGAATTTGTCGGAGAGGATTTTTTGCTCCTTGTTGTTGACGACGTGGTGGTCGAACACGTGGTGCTTGTGATTGTAATCTTATTAAAATAAAAAGTTCTATTTTATTAATTGAAATTTTTTGTTTATGTTACCGAACAGTATTTTCAGCAATTCGATTAAGATCATCTGTATTCAATTGTACAGATAATTCTTCATTTAAATTTTTAGTTATATTCGTAAAAAAATCATCAAGATGATCATCAGGTTTTAATACAGATATTGTATCAGATTTTAATACCGAAAGTACATTATTATTATTAGATTTTGTTGTTGCTAAAAAAAGGAACAAGATTTTATTAGAATAAAAATGAATTTCACTTACGTGTACCATTCGTATTCTTTGTTGATAAAGATGTTTGATTAGTATCTTTAGATTTAATAGTTGAATCTAAATAGAAAGAAGATAATTATCAATTTTTCTAATAATATATATATATATATATTACTTGTCTTCTCATTATGAATATCTTTGCTTATGCATTGTCCCATAATACTCAGACTATACTTGTCGTTCTAACGATAATGATAATGCTGGATTTTATTATCATAGGAAAAAAAATCTAATCCTCGCGACTTAGTCAACAAAATACGAAGATATTCTATGTCATCTTTATTCGTCAAAATAAGGTTTTATATTTTCTATCGATAAGAAAAGTCCGACAGTAATCAAGGAGAGTTCGGGTAAGAAAATGAGTATGAATATTTCTCTTTTCTTTACAATTGTTATGTAATAAGATAGAATGTTACGTTCAACTAAAGGAAAGTAAGAATTAGCTAACGGCATTGATAAAATAAGTAACTATTCATTATTAACGCTATGTCGGAAACCAATCAATGATTTTCTTCTTCTTTTATTATTTAAGTATGAAAACAGCAAATAAATTATAAGAAATAAACGATGATGTAATATATATATATATAATTATTACTTACCAGTTCTTAAACGAACAATATCAACTGTTTTTGCACGTTGTTGTTGATCTGTATTGGTTTTTTTAGCATTATATTTTAATGTTGGAGTTTTACGTGTACTTTTTTGTACATCAACTGGTGCGGGAAGTTTTTCAGATGGTTTAACAGATTTTATCCATTCGGTTTCACCAAATGTTTTTATTTGTTCGAGTCTAAAATGATTTAGATTGAATAATTTAAAATTAATTGGATATTATATAACATACCTTTTGCTCACCGGTATTACATTTTCTGATTCTATCTTTGCATCTTCTAAATATACATATATATTGGATGAATATTAATATATAGAATAAAATTATACCAAATGAATAAAAATATTTTGCATGCTGATCACTTTCTTGTGAAAGAGATGATAATGAATTCAAACAATCATCCGATAATGACAGGGAATTATCATGCGTAAGGTAATCATAAATAACTGAATATGTATATAAAAAAAGAAAGATTAACCAACATTTTTCATGCATGTTTGGATAATACATACCAGGATATGCAACCGCTAATTCTTTTGTACTTGATGATGGAGTTAAATTTGCAGCAGCTTGAACTTCTTCAGCAGTAATTGGCTAAAATAGAACGTTAAGATATAAAGTATGAGTCAAAGATTACATATATAGTATTGAATTTTGTTATTTTTATGTATCAAAGATACGATAAGTAGTTTAATTATTGTTGGATATATTCCGGCGACAAAAAAAAGAGATTGCTGACATTTTCCTATATAAGACTTAAAGCCAGATATGACATATGTATATGTCAACAGAATTACGAATCTTGCGTATATATGCGCACGTTCTACATTCCTACTACGATGCTAAATGGTTGGAAGAAAATCTGATTATGCTTGAGTAATATTCTTACAAACAAAACTAGAAGAGTGTTGATAAGATCTAATCTAGAAAAGATATAAAGTAATGCATGAAAAACTTCCTAACATTTTACGAAGGCTAAGATCTCATTTGTATAATGAGAATTTCGATTACTAAAACTAAGATAAATACCTGTGTTAATCGACTTCGAGTGGGTTTTGATGATGGTAATCCACCAAGATTTTTCTTTTTATTAAACAGAATCATTTTTTCTTTAAATGATAATTTTGATATATCATCATCATATGTGGCATCTTCAGGTTTTTTCTCTTGTAAATCTTCATTGGTTTGTTGTGGTGTTACAAGAATATTCTCTTTTTCTGAAGATTGATTTTCATTAATAGATTTTCTTGTTTTTAATGAAGAACTAAATCAAAAAACAAAAATTTTCAATATGTATATTGAAATATATTTACTCGTCATTTTTAATAGATCTTGTTCGAGGTAAAGTCCCACCAATTGGTGTATCTTTTATGATTGTTTCAAATAAAGTTTTCTTATCAGCTACACTCAATTTCTCATCCGTTCTAAAAATTTACAGTAAAACAAAATATTTTTTCCCTTTATTATTATTTACTCATTTGTCATATCTCGAAGTTCTTCATTTGATAATAATACATTTAATCTTTCAATCGATCTTTGTACTTGATTTTCAGTATTAGCCTGAAAATTAATAGGTATATCATATAAATATGTTTGATTGATATTTTTTGAATTCATATCGGAAGTTGATGTTAATTCTTGTTCACTTTTTGATAACGATGGTAACATTTGTTGTTCATCAAATGTATTCGATTTTTGTATTGAACGTTTATAATCTTCAACTTTACAACGACTATTACGTTTTCGTATGATTTCGGAAAGACCACGTTGTTTTTCAACAGGTAAATGTACGGAACGGCTAGTTGATGTTGATGAATCATTTGTTTCATCAATTTGATCCATAGATGATTTTAATGATTGATTTAATGTTATTGATTCAATTGAAGTTTTACGTGGAAGTTCATTTTGATTTGAAGAAGGAAAAGAGAATTGATCAAATATTTGTAATGATACATCTTCCGGTTGATATTGTTTATTTGGACGATGATATTCATTTGAATTTACAATAATTGTATTTGATATGGGTTGTATTTTTTGTTTATTTAATGGAGAATTACCTGATTCATTAATAAATAATTCTTGAGTTTGTATAGGTTTTTCTTCATTATTCCATTTTCTTGGTATAACTATAAACAATATGTAAGATTTAATTATGAAATAAATTCTCTTACCTTTATCATTGATAATTATTTGATCTTTATTATTTTTAAAATCATCAAGAAATGGTTTTGGTGATGAATAAAATTCCTCAACTTTTTTACTAGCAAAATCAGATCGTTTCGGTTGTGGTATATTTGATGATCGTGCATAAAATTGAGGTTCAACAAACGAAATTCCTGATTTTGTTGGTTGTATAATATCTTCTCCTTCTCTTTCTCCATTTGTTGGTATAAGTATTGTATTTTTCGCAGAAGAAAATGATTCAACCATTGGATCATTCGTTGTTTCATTCTTACGAATAGCATTTGTAATACCTGTATGTGTACCACTACTACCAATAGTATGATTTGATATTGCTTGTACACTATTACGACGATCTCGTTCTAGTGTTGATGAATCTATATAAGATAGAGGAGTATGTTTTCTTATTCTATAAAAGTAAAAGGGTAAGATAACACACAACAACTACATTGATGTGAATAAAAGAAAAATGATTATTTTCTACAAGTTATCAAGTAAACACATATAGACGAAAATGTCTCATAGAATTTATAGGCATATGACATATTCTTTGTTTTTTACTATTAATAGATAGGAATTATTCAAAACATTTGATGACATATGTTATAAATAATGTCTCTATATCATTTTCATTTTAAGTAAAAAATTAGATTTAATTATTTATTAAAAAAGCCTTGTATTACGAATAACCTTCGTAGATGATTTAAAGGACAAAAATTTGGTATTGTTGATTTAATGCAATGTATTTATTACGATACTTTTATCCAGATGTTTTGCGACATAGGTAGCCTTAAGGACAAAGCTGAAAAATTTCTTCATTAATTTCACATCAATAAGCTGTTATATATGGGTCTCTACACTGTCATTCTACTAACTTTGCTTTTTTTAGCTATTTGTCTTTTATATTTATGACACATGATTCTAACCAAAATGTATCAAGTTTAACGTTCTCACTGGAAAAATAAATATTCATTGAATACTCTAGTTAAACAAATATAATTAGATAGATGATAATACTAGGAGATGAATATCCTCGTTCGTTCTTTTTTTTTGCTACAAAAGTTATTTATAGAAGAAATTTCTATTCGTTATTATATCCGTCTTTATCTATTAACTAACCTTATTTGATGACAAACAGATAAAGAATATAAAACTTACGAAGCAATGTTCCTTCTGATTTAGCTGTATTTTTTGAACTTGTACAAAGCCTAAACAAATAAAAAATTAGATCATAATTTATCAAGGAAAGAAAAATTTAGGATAATATAATCAAAAGATATAAATGTTCTAATATAAATATATACATACCACGCTCCCATGATGAATAACAATTGAGATGAATAAAAAACTTGTCGATGGAGAAAAGAATGTGTTTGAACTTTTACTTCGTTCTACTGTTTTACTAAATCAGACTAGATAGTAATATACATACGCATCAACATATGTTTGTTAGCCTATCACTCAACTGAATACAGGCAGTCAACAAAGAAAAAACAATTATCACAACTTAATTCAGATACCATTGATGCAGATATGTATATATATATATATGCAACAAAAAGGCAAACGAAGAAAGAAAGTAATAGTATTTATCAGAGAAAATGTATGAACATTCTAATGCTAGTAGCAATCCTATTTTCTCCTTGATTATATAAACCTCATTGTATATAAAGAGAATATGTAGGAAAAGATAAAGACGAAGAGGAAACAAGAAATAGCAACTTATATATATATGTAGAGTTCTTTTTGATAAGCGCAATACGTCCATATCTCCATCTCATAGTAGGTGGGGAGTCAAACGGAAACGTCATTCATATATATATATATATATACATATATATATTTATATACATGGAACATCTTTTTTTCTTCCTTTCCTTTCCTTCTCTTTCTCTATTTCCTTTTTTTCTTTCTATTGTTGATATCTTTGTATAGTAGTTCTTTCTATTTTCGTTATACAATTGCTTAAAGTGCTTCATTAAGCTTTTCTTATTCAACTCTTCAGACGTATTGTCATAAGTGTGAATATTAGTAATACATTGATGAACTAAAGACTGAATGAAAAAATGTAAACTAATCTGTCATTAATTATCATTCCACGACGACTTCAAGCTGAGTATAACCACAGTTTGCTAAAATACACAAAAGTTTCCCTACTGTTAGAAATCAATCTGAACTACTACAGTCTCTCTTTTTTTTACTCAATATTTTTACTTATAAGAACGATCAGTTAAAAATGTACAGTAGCCTTGTTGAATGACAAAAACGATTATCTATCTAATACAAACAAAGACTGTTTCATTTACAGAGAAGTAATACACAAGGTTCTTTTTCTGTTTCATCTTTACAGACGTCATTATATATAGATCTATGTAGAAAAGCAATTAGCGAGAACGATAGAAGCATATTCATACAAGGTTTTGCATTGTTCTATGTTGAGCAGATGTGTACATATACCAATAAAAAGTAACAAAAAAAAAGAAGAAAAATACACATGCCATAAAACAATAGAAACGAAGATCGATTATATGATTATGGTGGAAAATTTTTTCGGTATTTCTGTATGATATTTTACAACTTAAATATTAAGTTGACATTGATTAATATATGTATATATTACTATGTTAAAAGGATTATTTGTCCAGACGTTATTCTTTTTATTCAAGATTTTGTCACATCATCATCAAATTAGACCGATAAGAAAATGAAAAATAAACTTGATTCATAATTAATTCATCTACTTATGATGAAATCAAAAAAATATTTTCGAAGGCTATACAATGATAATTGTAAATATAATAAAAGAATTATTAAATTCGTTTGTTGTTGTTTTTGTTATTATATAGAACAAAATAAATTTATATCGTTTTTTTTAGCATGCTATATCTTTAAAAAAATAAAAAAAGATAGAAAAAAAACGACATATTCTGTTATGAGAAGTGAAGACAGATGATGATGGTGTTGGGATGGTTAGTCATTCACCGTCCAATTGGCCTATAACGTAGAGAAGACGTATTGATTTTTTGTCTTGTATGAAGATCGA